GTTTTAGGTGGGGGAAAAAAGTCAGGTTACGAAAAAATGCTAAAAGAATCAGTTTCTCTGATCACTGAGGTGCCAAATGAAAGGTTCTACTGTACTAATGATGCTGTTAGTGGATTCTGAATGTATTGGGATACTGTACAACAACTGATACTGAGTTATGCAAAAGCTTTTAGTTGAATCGAGCTTTCTTTACTTCCGTCTAATGTGATTAGGAGTGGGAAGATCAATGGGCTTCCCACTCTTCAGTGTAGGATTTGGTATTACTTCACTTCCATAGGTTAGCAAGAATAGTTTTTATTATTCATGAGTTGAGTTTCTAAGCGCAGTTCTTTTGCATATCTTCACACATCTACCGCAGTTATCTGATTTTTTTTGTACACAGGGATAATACTCGCAGAGGGGACAATAGCTATATCAAATACAAGGATTATAATTAATTACATATGGAAAAAGATGTAAAATTTTCAAAAAAAATTTGCATCCACAAAACAAATTTCTTAATACGGTCCGAGTCAGTAAGACAATTGAGAATTGATAAAATTCCTTATATGCTTTAGAAATTTGCTTTTCAAACTGTATAAGTGCACTTGAAATTGTTTTTGATTGTATTTTACAGGAAACTTCTTGCTTATAAACAATTGAAACAAGACAGTGACATACTGCAGATATGTTCAAGACCACTGCATCTAATGGTTTCATTTGTGTTTGCATGTGGACAACAACTGAAATTTAATGCTTTAATTTACTAATTGAGTCTCTTACCAGCTGGGATAACTGTTGGCGTATAATAACACTAATTTAAACCGATCAGGCCTTAATTACAGAGGACCTCAATTCTGGCAGAGAAATTAGTTGAGCTGAAAGGCACCAGGAAATTCTAGAAACGGTCATCAAAATGCTCTGAATGGAAGAACCTACAGTAACCCCAGTTTATCCAGAAGTCGCACTTTGCCCGACCGGGCCCTCAATTTTAAAATGTCCCTACGCACCCACCCGCCTGACTGTCCTTGAAGGCTTTCAGCAGCCAGGCGGGGATAGTGACTTTGAGTTTGAATCAGTTTGAATCCTGCGAGCAGAAGAAAGCTTATTCACTATCTTCTTCCCACGGGATTCAAACGATCGCAATGCAGCTACTGGTATTTACCTGCATTTTTAAAAAATACAATGGTAACGGCATTGTAATTCCATTGAGCCATCATCAAAGTGACCCATTGGTCTGACCAGCTGGGGTTTCAGTGTACTTAAATAATACTATTTCTTTGAAGACTAGAATATATTTTGTGAAAGAAACAATATCAGTTATATTGCAAATAAATAGCAATCATACAAACAAATAAATTAAATAAATAAATCAAAGAAATCAATCAAGAACAAATAATAATTCTTGTATTTGACATAGAAACATCTCAAGTGCTTGACATAGAGACATCTCAGAATTATAGTAACTGTGTATTTCCTGGCTGAACGCAGCAGCCAATTTGCACTTGGCAGTGTCCCACAAACAGCTAAGGAGTGTGACCAATTTTATTGGGAGGATTGTTGATTTAATTTTAATTATTGATTGTGATGCTGTATAATAGCTGATATCTGAGTTTTGCATAAGTTTTTAGTAGACTCTCTTTGCAATAATAGTAATGATAAACATATCTATTTGATATGGTGCCTTATCATGTAGAACCATCTCAAAGTGCTTATCATAATGGGTTGCGTTTAATTTTGGTGACTGGTGTAGGCAAATGTGACAACAACATCCACAAACTGCAATGAGATTAATGATCATGTTTAACCTAGGTATTTGATGATGTTCATTTGTACAGCTTGAATAGTTCAATCTGACTCCATTGAACATTTTTTCTGTTTACATTTTTGTTTAGTTTTGCAGCTGTCATGTAATAGGAAACATGTGTTTCTCAAAAGATGTGATGTACATTTAGTGTTTAATATTCATAAATATTTTTTAGTTAGAACCAAATCCATGCTAAAAATAAACAAGTTTTCATGGGGCTGCACTATATAATGCTATGGGAGAGACCACAAAGGGTTAAGACCACAATCAGAATGTTTATAGAAAAATGTTATTTAATTAGGAGGCATGTGTGTCTCAAACTCATTTAAATTGAAGGAATGCATACTGAAATCCACCACTGTAAAGAGAAACAGCATGTAACTAAAAACCTTCAGTGGCACTTTGTTGACTGCTAAACTTCTTTGTGAAGTCCATAGTAAACTTCATCTGTTCTGTGTGTTTTTCATTCATAAAATACCACAGCTGTTAATTATTATTGGTTGCATAATAACAGAAAATACTGAGTGTGAATGCATTGAGGCAATTTTTATTTTAAAACATCTTTTAGTTTTCTTTATTTTTCACCCATCCTTCCCTCTTTCCTTCTACTGAGATCTCAGTGTACAGCTTATAGCAATATAATAATTTTTGCATTTGTTTGAGCTCCTTATTGACCTGATAAGGAGTTCTAACAAATGCAAAGGTTATTGTGTTGCTTATACAAATCCAACCTAAACTTCTCTATGTTTAAATAACTATTAATGTGTTTCCAGAGGACGTTTAATTTTCTCTCCAATCATCGATAACTAATATTAGCAGGTAATCAAGAATTTACTGCAGAAAACTCTTACTTGAGACAAAAAAACATACTTGAAGATAAAAACCATGGATTTCTTCAAAATTATTTAGACAATCAAATAATACCATGACTGAAACGACACATCATTATATTATATAGCTCCGGGATACTACCCGGCGTGAAGGGCGCTATATAACTGTAAGTGGGATAATATTTTGTTTTACACACATAGAATCATAGAATTATACAGCACAGAAGGAGACCATTCGGTCCATCGTGTCTGTGCCGCTCTTCGAAAAGAGCTTTCAAATCAACCCCACTCCCCCGCTCTCTCCCCATAGCCCTGATCAACCCCACTCCCCCGCTCTCTCCCCATAGCCCTGATCAACCCCACTCTCTCCCGCACTCTCCCCATAGCCCTGATCAACCCCACTCCCCCGCTCTCTCCCCATAGCCCTGATCAACCCCACTCTCTCCCGCACTCTCCCCATAGCCCTGATCAACCCCACTCCCCCACTCTCTCCCTATAGCCCTGATCAACCCCACTCCCCCGCTCTCCCTATAGCCCTGATCAACCCCACTCCCCCGCTCTCCCCATAGCCCTGATCAACCCCACTCCACCACTCTCTCCCCATAGCTCCGATCAACCCCACTCCCCCACTCTCTCCCCATAGCCCTGATCAACCCCACTCCCCCACTCTCTCCCCATAGCCCTGCAAACTTGTCCTCCCCTAATAATTATCAACTTCTCTCTTAAAAGTTGTTATGGAATCGGCCTCCACCAGCCTTTCAGGCAATGAATTCCAGATCCCAACAACTCGTTGTGTGAAAACATTTCTTCTCCCCTCCCCTCTGTTTCTTTTGGCAACTATTTTAAATCGGTGTCCTCGGGTTACCGACCCACCCGCCAGTGGGAATAGTTTCTCCTGTTCACCCTATCGAATCCCCTCAGAATTTTGAAAACTTCTATTAAGTCTCCTCTTAACCTTCTCTGCTCGCAGCCAGTTCTGTATCCACTGTCACTGTCTCTTTAATACCGTGGGCTACTGTTTCGCTTACAAGTTTCTTATGTGGCACTTCATCAAACACCTTTTGAAAATCCATAGAAACTACTGCACTACCTTCATCCACCCTCTCCGTTACTTCATCAAAAAATTCTATTAGGTTTGTTAGACATGATTTGCCTTTAACAAACCTGTGTTGACTGTCCTTTATTAAACCATATTTTTCCAAGTGAAAATTTATTTTGTCCCGGACTATAGTCTCTAGAAATTTCCCCACTACTGACGATAGGCTGACTGGCCTGTAGTTCCCGGGTTTTATCCTTCAGCCTCTCAGCCCCGAGGCTCTGGAACTCCATCCCCAGTGCCTTCGCCGCTTCCTCCCTTTCCTCCTTCAAGGCCGGTCTCAAGACCTTTCTCTTTGACCGTACCTTCAGCTCCCCTCTCGACTCTCTACCCCCTCCTCGCTCCCTCCCCTCACCCTGACCATTTCCCCCCCAATGCTCGGGTCCTGACCCAACTGTACAGCGCCTTGGGACGTCTTCCCAACGTGAAAGGCGCTCAATGAATGGAATCTTGTTGTTGTTTTTGTACAGGGGAGTAACATTTGCAACCCTCCAGCCCTCTGGCACCACTTCAGTGTCCAAAGAGGATTATAATAATAATAATCCTTTCATTTGATATAGTGCTTTTCACGTCTTCTAGACGTCTCAAAGCGCTTCACAGAATACAGTTAATTGACTGTATATTTTTTGTGAGTGAAACGCAACAGCCAATTGCGCACAGCAATGTCCCACAAACAGTCGTGGATAAAGTGACCAATTTATTATTGTTTTTTTCTTGAGGGTTTATTATTAGGCATGTGGAGTAAGGAAACTTGCCCAAGGTTTCACCCTGCTGGGAATCAAACCCAGGTCTCTCGCTTGCCAGGCGTGTGCTCTTACCACTGAGCTACAGGATCCTGAAAGATTGTGGCCAGAGCCTCCGCTATTTCCACCCTGACGTCCCTCAGTAACCTAGGATGCATTCCATCTGGACCGAGTGACTTATCTACCTTGAGCACAGTCCCTCCTCTCGGTTTATTATCTTATCCAATTTCTCTCCCCTCTCCTCCGATACTGTGGCATTGGCTACATCCTCTTCTTTTGTGAGGACAGATGCAAAGTACTTATTCAGTACATCAGCCTCCACAAGAAGATTTCCTCTTTGGTACCTAATTGGACCCACCCCTACCTTTGACTAATCTTTTATTCTTTATATGCTTATAAAATGCATTAGGGTTCTCTTTTATGTTACCTTCTAATCTTTTCTCATACAATCACTTTGCCCCTCTTATTTCCTTTTTCAGTTCTCCTCTGTACTTTCTATATTCTATTGTTGATAGTAATGATTTTCTATTATTCTTTTTGCTCAGCATACCCCAAGATTGAAAATGGCCAGCTTGAATGTCCACTTGGTTATAAGAATAGGAACCAGACACACTGTCAAGGTGAGTGTGTTCTCTTAGTAAACCAGACAGTATATATATTATGGCATGCAAGATGTGTAAACGTCTACAAAACTCAACAGGGTATCTACAGTAAATATCTATCTTCAGATAAAAAGGAATGTTTTAGAAAAAAAATCTTGTTCTGAAGCTGTGAGCAAGTAAGGTATTTCTGCCTTTAATTTACATTAAGAAAAAATGTACCACAATACAATATTTTGGATATATTATTTATTACATAATAAAGGAGATCACCTTTTTAACAACTAACTAATTTTACTATTTGATTTACCTAAAAGTTCACTGGTTTAGAAGATAATTCTATTCTCTAATTCTGTTAATTCAGTCCTACTTACCTGTTATTTATTTTGAGGATAGTTAGCTCAACCAGTTGATCACATTACTCCCACATATAGCTGCCATGTATTGCCGTCAATAGTCATACGGACAGTATATAAAATAATCAGTTGCAAGTGTTAAATCATTGTAGCACTTTAATTCAGATAATTGTGAAAGTAGTTGAGCTTTTAGCAGTTGTAATATCATTAGAACTCTTGCAATGAAATCTCAGCCGTATAATTGTTTTATGGTGTTTACTCTCCCATGACAACTAAATGTGTACTACAATTATAGCAGCAGTGGGGGATAATGTAGTTTATTAAGGACTCTGTATACGCTGTTGTGCTGCCATAATTTTACAGAGGATGTTAAGCTCAGTAAAAAATGTTGGTGAATGGATCCAACTCACTTGATATGCGATGCCAAACATGTTACTAGTAACTATCTAAATTTATTTATGACATATCATTAGCAATGTTGTTTCTTTGTGTGGGTCATTTATGTCAATTGTAAGCAATTTGGCAGGATTTATGTTGTGATAAAAGAAGCCATTGAGGCACCAAAGTTATGAAATATTTGACAGGTGCATTCAGTGCAGATAATAGTCAGACATAAGAACACAGGAAATAAAATGGATATATGCCATATAATGGTTCTGTATCATGGAAGAATGAAGGATAAATCTGGCTAATAGAGATGCCATAAAATTCTTCTAAGCTTCTCCTAGTATGAAATATTACAAATATATAGTTATTATCAGCAATCTTACTAGCGGAGGCCAAATAAAATATTCAAATAAAAGTATGTCTCATAATAATATAATAATTTTGCATTTGATATAGTACGTATAACTTTACAGATGTCTGAAAGTGCTCCATTGTTATCGTAAATAACTGCGTTTCTAGGAAAGTGTTGTAATCAATTTATGCACAGCAACATCCACAAATAGCCATGTCGTGAATGACCAATTTCAAGTGAGAACTTTAATTCGACTCATCTGTGAATGGTTACATACAAACTGGCAAACTAGGAGACTTTTTTTAATAAAAAAATGGAATTCAAATAACATATCTGCCCCTTTCAATGAAGAATTAACTTGATCCCCAGTTTCCTTTCTGAGGTCTGACGGGACTTCCTACTGAGATGCTCTTGTCCATCTGCCTATATACCACATTATGTGCAATGGTTTCAAATAACTTTATTTATTCCATAGCAAGTAAAAATCGGATTTGAAAGGTGAAAGTGCATGCAATGTCCTGCAGTTAATCAGTGGCTGTTTATTAACACAAAATGTGAAGAAGAGCATGAGAGCAGATGCTGCTTATTCTATGTTTATATTACTGGGAGCAAAGTTGTGTGGTGCAGTGCTGTGCAGTGGGAAGCCAGGTTTATACTTGAGTTGGGTTATAAGAAAATAAACACCTGATGTCAGTGTTTTGCCCATGTGCCAGGTGCAAACCACCAATATTGGATTTGTTTTTTAATATTATTAAAAAGCTAAGGGCTAGTCAAAAATATATTAAAACTTGCTCGGTTGAAGTTTCCTGATCCAGATGAGAGCTTTCAATAGTGTCCTCAGTGTGCTAAGCAGTCATTGCATTTACGAGATAGTTCTCTGAGACCATTTCTTCCAGCTGCTTAAGTCCTGATTTATATCATACAGTTTGCAGTATGAATGCACAGTTAGCGTTTAGCAATCAGAACATAGTAATTAGAGTTAATAATCTAAGAATAGGCATATCCTTGGGTTCTGGTGATCAGTTTACAGATATATTTAAAATCATAAAAAAGGCGAGGTTCAAGATTGAAGAATTGAAACAAAAGCGTTTTTTGGAACTGCAGAGGCAAGCGAATGAGGCAATCTGGAAAAAAAGAGTTTCTCTCACTAACCCAAATGAAATAAAATAGGTCACTCACGTCATGGCTGTTTGTGGGACTGCTGCATGCAATTTGTTGCTGTGATGGCCTACAAATACACAGTCACTACACTTCACATTAAAATCCTATGGAGCTCTCTGACATTTTGATTATGCGATAGGGCACTGTATCAATGCAAGAATTATTATAATTTAGAATTCAGCTCAATGATAAGTGATTTGATTGCTATGGGTAAGTCATCATACTTTAGGATTTTGAATTATTGGAATATACAGCCTTCTGCTGGGAAGTGTCCAAATACAACTAATGCTCTTTTGATGTTTTCCAGGAATCTCAACTGGAATGCTAAAGAGTTGTAGATACTACAATACCCTAACTTTGACAGATTACCGTTGGGTTGTAGTTAGCTGAGTTATTGATAGCTATGGGCTTTTTAAAGTGTTTAGATTGGAGCTGTCCAGAGAAGTGTAGTAAAATGAATTAATTTCCCTTGGGTTAAATTTAATTAATTGAACCATTTATTTGTTATGGATAAAGAAACCATTAGGATGTGTTAGTTTTGATTACTTGACTTTGTTTCAATGTTTCCTTTACTAACAACTGCCAAGAAAGAAAGAAAGAAAGAAAGAAAGAAAGAAAGAAAGAAAGAAAGAAAGAAAGAAAGAAAGAAAGAAAGAAAGAAAGAAAGAAGCAGGCAGGCAGAAAAGAACAGACAGACACAGACAGACAGACAGACAGACAGACAGACAGACAGACAGACAGACAGACAGACAGACAGACAGACAGACAGACAGACAGACAGAAAGAAAGAAAGAAAGAAAGAAAGAAAGAAAGAAAGAAAGAAAGAAAGAAAGAAAGAAAGAAAGAAAGAAAGAAAGTGGCAAATACAGGATTTAAAAATATATATTTTGTTTTCACCAAAACAAATTTAAATAATTAAAGGAACATTTATTTGCACCAGATTTCAAATCAGATTATTATATAACCATTAACATTTCTTCTGGGAACAGATGTTCCTAAACTAACCCAAGTACTCACATATTAAGATATATTCTATGAATTCTAATTAATTCTATGAGTTTTAGTCCAGAAATATATTTTGCTGTAAGGATTTCAATTGTATATGGGACAAATAGTGTATAAGACCTCTAAAAACTGAAGTATACCTGTGGTGAGTTAATTCTGGTCATTGTTATCATTGAATTGTATTCAACTGAATATGGCCTCAGAACCAATTGAAGTTATCATAAATGCAGCACAATGGAGAGTTTGAGGTGCATTAATCCAAAATAATCTACACCAAATGGAATGCAAGGATTATTATTATTAGAGGTACCTTAGGTAGGTAGGTAGGTGGGTGGGTGGGTAGAAAGAAAGAAAGAAAGAAAGAAAGAAAGGAAGGAAGGAAGAGAAAGGGCAATTTATCTTGCTCTCCGATTTAAATTCCTGCTGATAATGCCAGATATTCTACAGCCTTTATTTACCAAAACAAGCTATAATTATCAGGAGTACAGTATTTGTAGTTTTAGTACTCTCTTATCTTTGTTTTCCCTTTTCTAAAGCTGCCAAAACCTATGCCTGGATTTTGATACAAAATCTGTCATTGTTTTCAAACATTGTGCTTTCTGCAGCAAATTGGATTTGGTTTCCCATTCCAAATACTGCGCATAAATGTATTTTATCAATTTCTGATGTGTGTTTTTTTAATCATTCATTTGTTGTGAATACATTCTTACTGCAATTCAGTAAAACATTGTGGTGCTTTATGTCAATTCTAAACACAAATCTAAAAACACTGCAAAGGCAGTGTTTTTAGATTTGTGTTCACTAAAGCAATGTGAACCCTCATTTTGCCAAAATAACTAAGTAATTGTAAAAATGTTAACTTTGACTCGGGAATATCTTTGATATACTAATAATATGAGATGTAAGGTGTAAATCAAATAAGATGTAAATCAGCTAAAATATTCTTTGCATTATGATATAGTGCCTTTCGTGTTAGGAGAACATTTCAAGGCACTTAATAGGATTTTCTGCAAATTTAGTGACTGTAATTTGTAGATAAAGAATGCAAGGGATTAAATAAAACTCATGAATGACTAGAGAGGTCAGACTGGGAACCCAGAGGATGTGTATCCATGACTTAGTGACTAAGACCAAAGCTCCGGTTGCAAATTACTACAAACTGGTTCATTGTTGGCACTTGGGGCTCTGCAGCTGTGCAAAGGGAGACTAATAAAAAGAACAAAGTTATATATCATGGTAGTTGTAAAGCAGGCTCAAAGGAGTAAACAAAATTATAGCAGTATGGTTCTTGTACAAAGGGCGGTGTCATTGGCCCAACCACGTACAGCTGTTTCATCACTGACCTTTTCTACATCATGTCATGCTCTATTTGCTGAACACTGCACTGTTATATCATCATTTGCGTAGGAATATATTCATTTTTAATAAACATTTTTTAACTACTCTAAAACAAGAAACTATTGATTAGAATTAGGTGGTGGTATTGGGGAGGTGGGTGTTTCTATTTTGGAGATATTTATAACACCTCAGAGATTCTGTTTTGATTAATGTAAATATTGGCTTTAAGAATTGAAGAAGAATATATAATAAAAACACACACCTGGAAAAGTGTGCCTTAATTACTGACTGATACACAAGAATTTTTTTGACAGAAAGTTGAATTAATAGATTATTCCTGTCAGCAACTACTACAACAACAACAAAATAACATTTATATAGCCAGGATGCAAATCATTATAAATAATTACTTAGTTATGCTTTTTGTGAATTGAAAGCTGATTGGTTGAAAGGGTCCGAGTCATATTGAACAACAAAACTGGAAATGCGTATGGCTGACAGATTTTGAGGTCTGACACGTGACAGAATTTTAACCCATGACATATCCACCATGAGACACAATTGCACAGTAATTTAGTTCCTTAACATTGACTAATAAAATACATAAGATTTCTATATTCAGATTGCTGGAAATCTTACGTTTACTGCTAAATCAGTGCTGGAGGTAATTGCACTTAATGATTGTTTTGTCAGTACTGACAATATATTGCATTTTGTAATATAGGTTTAATACCTGGAATACAGTAACCTAATGCTAGTAGATGCCAAGTTTCGGGAAGACAGATTGAAACAACAAGAAGTTGCATTTATATAATGCTATTCACGTCGGGCAGACATCCCAATGTGTGGATGCATGGCACCATGTTGTACATTTTTGAAATTCAAAGTGATTTAACCCAACAGTGTTGGCTACTAGCTGCGTGAAGTGCTTTGAGACATTTTTCTAAAGTGAAAGACATTACCTGCATGCTAATGAGAAAGGTACATTTTTATTATCTTTATGATCTGTTCAGAAGGTAAGTATGCTTATTCTGCCTAATCTTTTATTGGATTAAAGTTTTCTCTGCTGATTACTTCTTGATTACCTATTGAAAATAGTAGTCCGAGACACAATCCTGCATAAACATCACTTTCTAAATATAAGTTGCTGTTGTTGAAAACGTATCAGGCAGTTCTCTGTATGTAAAACTAGTCCCAGATGCCTGACATGAGTGCATTCTTTTATGAAGAAAATGTGAAGTATATACCAGTTGCATTGAATAATTTAATTCATTCAGTGTGCTCAAGAATGCTTTTTTAGAAACTTCACTTGATCTCATATCCTTTAATTTCAAATGGCATGGCTTTTATAAGACATTATATGTCCTGCTATTTTTTACCTATCAATAAAACATTTGTCTCTTCTTACTCCCAGATATCAATGAATGTCTGATACCAGGAATCTGTCAACATGCTAACTGTCTGAATACCAGAGGCAGTTATAGATGTACCTGCAAGGCTGGCTATATGATGGATACATCCAGGAGGCACTGCATCTGTAAGTAATAATCTGATCATTCTCTATAATAAAAAGTCAGGCACACGTCTGGAGTCAGTTAAGACAGCAAGTTGGTCACCATTATATTCAAGTTATCATATGGTTTTAATAATGAGAGAACTGCAAAGGGACATACCAACAGATGCAAACTATAACACCAGAATATTCTACCGATAATGGTAAGAGGGTAGTGAGAGAAAAAGTTGAGCCCCGAGGGGACACAAAAGTTATTGAAAAAAGAACATAGTAAACATGGGAAATAACTACCATTTGCAAGTTTTTACCAGGGAGGGCACGAAATATATCCCATTCAACATCTGATTGAGACTCAGTATTTTTAAGGGCATTTTGTTGATTACGAGCTCAGGAAATTGCCTCTTCAGGTTTATTCATGGGATACTGCCCTAAGATTTTTTGACCTTTGAAAATAATTTCTGCTAAATGGGAATCGAAGACGGCAGCAGTCAGAATTTTCCAGCCAGGTTTGGATGCTATTATTTTTTCAAAATTCAGCGGATATTTCAAAATTCCTCTTAACCTTGCTCCTTAAATAAATTGGTTTAGAGATAGCATCATTTGGCCACTATTTTCAGTGCCTTTCTGAATTTTCTCCAGAGTAATTGGAATCCTTTAAAACACTGATAGCATTAATCTGATATGTGGTTTAACTGTGCAAAGAAATGTCTGCTATTCACGATTTTGGAAAATTTACCAACAAACAATGAATAATAGGTTCAAATACTGCCAATGGTTCAATTTATGCAAAGGGGAGAATAACTCCATTTTCCATGTCATTTTAGGACTTACCATGTTGTTTTAGGACTTACTATTGCTTTAAAGAGACAAACATCATAATGTGGAGAGAAGTGTTATGGTTACATTCAGGATCAATATACTGTACTTTAATAACAATTTGGCAATAACCCATTCTAAATGTTGTCACTATTGTAAATTCAGCATACATTAGCTGATAATTCTGCAGTCTGTAACAAAGCCCATTTATGTGTAATGATACTTGACAAGCTGTTGCAACTGTCACATACCAAATGCATTCCAACTCTCTATTGGCAAAAAGGAGACATTGTTCAATAGCTCTGTCTCACAAGTACTTATGAGAAGAATTCTGGCCTGAATGTCACTCACAGCCAAGAGGCAGTGCATGTAATTGTGTCAATCCTGCAAACCCAGCTGCCACAGTAGTGAATAATAGCAGTCAATACCTTTCTGCCAAAATTTTCACAGGTCCTTATAAACTTCTATTGAACCTTGGTTAGACCACACTTGGAGTACTGTGTACGGTTCTGGTCTCCATATTATAGAAAGGATATAATGGCACTGGAGATTTACAAGGATGATACCGGAACTGCGAGGTTATTTCTATCAGGAAAGGCTGAACATGCTTGGACTCTTTTATCTTGAAAAGAAGTGGGTAACAGGTGACCTGATAGAGGTCTTTGAAGTGATGAAAGGTTTTAATAGGGTCGATACAGGGAAGATGTTTCCACTTGTGGGGGGAGACCAAAACCAGGGGCCATCAATATAAAATAGTTACCAATAGATCAAATAGGGAAGTTAAAAGAAATGTCTTCACACAGAGAGTAGTGGGAATGTGGAACTTGCCAACAAGGAGTTGTTGAGGCGAATATCATAGATGCATTTAAGGGGAAGCTAGAGAGGTACATGAAGGAGGAAGGAATAGAAGGTTATGCTGATAGGCTTAGCTGAGGAAGGAGCATAAACGTGGAGCATAAATGCCAGGATAGACCAGATGGGCCAAATGGCCTGTTTCTGTGCTGTATATTCTATGTAATTCCATGTAATTCTATGTAATCCGTTAGGTCATCAAATACACATGGTTGCTCAGAAGCAGTTGACCATGAGTATTGGGTTATAATAGCTTATAACAGTTTAGAAATGGTGTGCCTTTTAAGCTTCTATCTAATGATCAAATTCTTAAAGTGAAAGTGTTTTGTAATTCCCTTCTCCTTTCTCTTAGCGGACAAAGCGGTTTCCGCAGAAAGAGGATTCTGTTTCAGATCACTGTCCAGAGGGAACTGCTCCCTTCCTCTTACTCAGCAGATTCCCAAACAGATCTGCTGCTGCAGTCGTGTGGGCAAAGGATGGGGTAGAAATTGCGAAAAATGTCCACTTCCTGGCTCAGGTAATTATTATTTAAGCGCTCTGGGACACTATCCTGTGTAAGGGACGCTTTATAAATGAAAGTTGATGTATTTAGGAATACTGCAGTTTTACAATGTTATAAATACAGCACAGTAAGTAATCTTTGGATCAGGAGAAGCTTTAGATTAGAGTAGGGACAGACTAGATGAATTCATTAAGTGGTGCAGATTTCAGACTTTACTCAACACTAAAAGGAATCTGTTCTGTTTCAGATCAGTTGGAAAGTTTTATGTTAGATCTGGGTTTTGATGCCAATCGGCACTGGCAAACCTTTGATTTTTCTTTTGGGTATTTATTTTTCAAGTAAAAGTTATTTTCGTCAAATCAGCATGACTGGACAGAAATCTGAAGAAACAAACATCCTCTTGGATTACACAATCCATTTAGACCTCCATGGTTGCAGCAACAAATATAGTGACTCCTGCAGATTAATTAATTAATTTTTTTCCCAGTGCATAAATGTAGCTTTAGCGCCTAACAAAACAAATAGATGTAATTTAAAATGAACTTGGCTTTGTGATTTTATGCATTGGTGGCTAATTACACATTGTTGAGATTCCTTAGAAAAACACCAGACCTTGGTGTGATTGACCTTATTGGTCTTATGATCTGTCTTATCCGGCTTTTCTCACAGCTCGCTGTCGTGATCGGGTTTCCTATTTCCAGCCTCAGTGCAAGATGTTCATCTGAGCTCCTGTCATTCAGTATGATTGATATGATAGCTTTGAACTTATTTCTAATCCGTAGAAAAGATTTTACAGCTATTATTCTTTAAAAATGAGTTTATAATAATCCTTGCATTTGATACAGCACCGTATCACGTCTATTCTGCCACTTGGAGAGTAGAGAGATGATCAACTTCCAGTGATCAATATCATACTTGTCTTACACTCAGCATTCTCCTTCCCTCAGCTCGCCATCTCACTGAGGTTCCCCAGCTAAGATAAAGTTAGGCCATCTTAAAACCATGAGGACAAAGTCCTTCAACTCTGTATTGCTGCATGTTGGTAAACCAATGTGCTAAATCATTGTTTACTAAACTTTGGATTAGTAATAAAGGTTACTGTCTTATTTACTTGCCTATTAAATCTGTGTCAACTTGGCTCAATTGGTAAAGTGATCTTTGGATCAGAAGACTATCAGCCTCGTGTTTGGACTTGAATTCATAGTTTAGATTGAATCTTAAGGGAAATACTGAAAGTGTTAAACCGAGGTCCAACTGGCTGTTGAGGTAAATGTTAAAGATGGGTCCTGTGTCCAGATTAGTCATTCACCACATGGCTGTTTGTGAGTTCTTAAAGTTATTGCAACGTTTAACTACAAACACAGGTACCACACTTGACAGTAATTACCTCTGCAGCACTTTGAGATGTTTGAATATAAGAAGGTACCACATAAAAATGTAATTGGTTCAGCCAATAAAATGAAATATTCCTCTTTCTTTAAATGGCTTTATGTTTAAGCCTTGTTTACAACAAAGACTTATTTCAGAGGCTTTACAAGCTCTTTACAAGCTACTCTGGATTTCCAATGTGATTTTTTTCATCCAGATAATTGATGAGTTGGAACATATGTTGAAGAAACAATTGTTCATAGTGAAAGTCATTTTTTTAAGACAAGGATCTGTCTTGAGTATTACTAATCAATACAAGGGAACGTCTGGTGAAGAAAGCCTTTTGATCTCATTCTTCCAGCATATCAGACTTACTGTCTTCCAATTACAGCATCAAGCTGTTTCACAAATAAGTAAAGTACCTGGCCTCAAGATCCTTCCTGGTAATTCATTCCAGCTGTTGATGTTTTCAGCTCCATTGGAAAGAAGAATTAATACACACTTAATGTACTGGTTACAGACGAACTGCTTCTCAGTACAGATTTGCTCTGCAAGTGTTCCATATTGAGAAGGTATTTCTTCTTAGAATGAATCTATGCAAACACTATTTCAGTGAATGAATAGTGAACCTAAGGAACAGGTTCCCTCGGGAGACGGTTGAAGCATGAATGTTGATTCATTCAAACACAGATTAAATAGTTTTCTTTTAGGAAATAACATTATGGGATACAGTACATAAGTAGTTTGGGACATACGTGCAAGCGATCACCTGGAAGGTGGAAGGCGAACTAGATGGATCACGGCCTTTTTTTGTCTAGCATTTCTTATGTTTCTTATGTTCTTCTCCAATGAATTTTAGATAAATTCTACATAATTTGCTCATCATTTCTGGTACACCATCCATGTAACCTAGTACTGTATTGGGCAGTACCTATGGTGACTAGGCCATCGGGGGGAATTTCAGTTTATAGCCTTGTATACCAGAACATATATGTATATTGCTGCTTTAATAATATTTTATGCTTTTCTTCCAGTTGTGTTTAATGAAATCTGCCCAGCTGGTCATGGTTATCATTATTCCAGATCTGACGTCCAGATCTCATTGAGGCCAGCTGAAGATCAAGATCTAGTTCGTATCAGCTCTCAACAACATTTCAACAACTATGAAGGTACTATTAAAGATTTATCTTCAGCTGAACAGCATAGGTTTACAAGAGTGAAATAATGCTAAACTTGTGGTAAAATCTATAGATTTTACTTGCTGAACATTTCATTTCTGGAACCTGTTTGAATGCAATCCAGATAAATCTTCTCCCTGTATTGCCCGGCAAGGCTTGTACGTAAAATGTGTTTGGAGGCTTCCTCAACCCAGTTCCTAATGATTGTGAGTCCACAGTACAAACTGCCTACAGTCAGATGTCTAGTGTGGGGAATGCAACAACAAACCTTACTGGTGCACATCTACTAGTTAATAATAACATAATATTCCTTGCATTTGATATAGCACCTTATCACATCATCAAGACATCTTAAAGCTAGGGTATCAAATACAAGGATTATTACAATACAATACAAAATGACATTTGTATAGCACTTTTACGTCAGGAGGACGTCCCAAGGCTCAATAATAACATTAATATTATTATAATGTTCAGTCCATTCTAAAATGGATGCTATAATATTTGCAGCACATTTTTCATGAGCTTGTCAATGAGATTCTTCATTTGTGATAACAGGAGCAACAACAGCTGCAATCATATTCTGTTCTCTTAGGTCCTTTTATTGGAGTGAGAACAACACCAAATGATGTTTTAGTCAGGAAATTAAAGAGGAGTTTCAGCAACATGACACTTAAGCCTTTAAGCCAATTATTTATAAGTCAAATGGATTTGAAGTCAGCATGGTTTTCTTTAGTTGGAATAGAAAATATGACTTCCACAATCACTTTGATGGCATTTTTTTAATGAAAAGATAAATCTATGATTTCTGCAACTATGACATTGTTTTTCTTCTTTTGCAGATGATACTTTCACAAAACCTGTAAGTATTTTTGTGAATGCTAAGAATATCAATCTTTAGATTTTGCTTACTTGCACTTTAGTAAAATGCTTATTATATTTCAGTTCAGTTCACGTAGAGCTAACTAGCGACTGTTTCAGTTCATGACGTGATGAGGGGAAGGACTGTGGCACAATATGTTATCCTTGAAATACAGATTAGCATGCAAAAAAAAACCTTTAAGAGATTAAATAAATTGTCTATGACAGTATAACTTGGATATTGCCTGTTGGAAGAAGTTAGTTAGAGTCTCATATTCTATGTTGTGTACTTACAACTAGTTTAAGGATAATGTTAAAATTATGGATTAGCATTTTGTATGTTGAATGTGATATTTTTTCACACAGCTTCATCCTTCTGTGCCTGTTCGTAATCCAAGCGTTGACACATACCCAGGTTAGTAGGGCCTCATTATCGTTAAAGCATACTTGACATTGGTATGCAAACATTTCTAGTTTTGTGATTCCTCCATATTAGCCACAAAAACATTAATGAACACTGGTTTACCTGCCATTTCACCAGGATTGTGAAAACATAAGATCGATGGTTTAATACAATTTGGACAGATGGGATAGAAATCATATAAATGATAGAAGATGGTTTGTGCTGCTTTGTTCAGAAAGCCTACACCAGTTCATCTTAGTATTAGCCAAGACAGACAAATTGAGTAGCATTCCTTGGTCACTAAGGAGATCCTTAGTATAAATTGATCAACTTGTAATTTGTTGTTGTTATTGTTGATGCAATCTTGTAGTTAATTCCAATAAGTTCTAGCTCTAAAACTCTGCTGCCCACATCCTTATTCTCACAAAACCTCCCTGCTCATCATCTCCATTCTTTCTAGGCTCCCTTTGCTGCAGGTCTCCCTCCCCCTCCCACCTCACCATCGGCAGCCGAACTCTCAGCAAATACCCACCCATCCTCTGGAACGCTCTCCCTCAACTCCTCCATCTTGCCCCTCTTGATAGATAGACAGACAGACAGACAGTCAATTCACTTTACAGTATATTCTGTGAAGCTTTGAGTCGTCTCGAAGAAGTGATAAAGCGCTGTATCTCTTCATTCCTTGTCCCCTCCCTCCCTCTCTGTTCTCCTCGCTCCCCAATCCACCATCGGAGGTCGTGCATTCAGCCACCACCCCCTGAAACTCTGGAACACTCTCCCTCAATCCGGACTTACCTGGACTAGTGCAAATACTCGGGGGGTGTGGGAGGTGGTGGCAGCTTCTTGATGGCCCCATGGGTTGGCCACCATTCTTGTGTTATGATGGGCTCTTCTGTAATTTGAACTGATGGACTTCTTTTTCCTCCAGTGGAGGTTGTAGTGAAGACAAGCCCACCCACGCCTGTGCACCTGATTCCTGAATCTGAAGCTGAAAATGCAGCTGCAGTATTTGCAGAAGAAATTTCAGGTAAGATTGCATACTCCTGATTTATGTTTTTGTACACCTTTTTTATCATATCTATATATGGGTAAGAAAGTAATCTGTTTTTAATGGCAATTTAATCTTTTGGAGTGAAAAGTGAGTCCTCAAACAAACACTAGAAGAGTTTGTTTCATTCATTAAAAAATGGAAATAGACAGTTGGCCAACAGATTTTAGAAATTATTCATTTCTAAAATCTGTGCAACAATTCACATTGAATGCAGTAAAACTCACAAAAGTCTTATCAGTCAGGGCCATAACATTTAATATGACTTATGCGAAGTTCGAGTTGTAGGCAACCATCTTGATGTCAAGATATATTTGTGATGATACTAAGAGAACACGAATATGCTTAACATCATTTGTTGCAGGAGCACTTTTCACTCCAACAAAATTAACTGCCATTAATCACTTCAGATTTCAGAGCTCTGGAATCACATAACATAACATAACATAACATAACATAACATAACATAACATAACATAACATAACATAACATAACATAACATGTAGGAGCAGGAGTAGGCCATTCGGCCCTTCGAGCCTGCCCCGCCATTCAATCATGGCTGATCTTCTAATCTAACTCCAGCTAATAACCTGATGCTGCCTTATCCCCATATCCCTTAATCCCTTTTGCAATAAGAAATCTATCTATCTCAGTCTTGAATATGTTCAAGAACTGAGCGTCAACAGCCCTTTGGGGTAGTGAGTTCCATACATTCACTGCCCTTTGAGTGAAGAAGGTCTTCCTCAACTCAGTGCGAAAGGGCTGCCTCTGATTTTAAGGTTGTGACCCCTGGTTTTAGTTTCTCCAACTGGGGAAACAATCTCCCACTATCCACTCTATCATTGCCCTTTGATGATCTTAGAGGTTTCTATAAGATCTCCTCTAATTCTTCTATATTCTAGAGAATATAGGCCCAAATTGGTCAGCCTATCCTCGTAACTCATCCCCTTCATCCCTGGCACTAACCCAGTAAATCTACGCTGCACCCCCTCCAAGGCAAGTACATCCTTCCTTAAATTAGGAAACTGCACACAGTATTCCAGGTGTGGTCTCACCAGGGCCCTATACAGTTGCAGCAAGACTTCCCTACTCTTATACTCTAATCCTTTCATAATGAACGCTAACATACCGTTCGCCTTCCTAATTGCTGCTGCACCTGCAGACTAACTTTCTGTGATTGGTGTACAAGGACACCCAAGTCCCTCTGGACGCTAACACATTCCAATCTCTCCCCTTCTAAAAAATAACCCGCTCTACTGTTTTTGCTTCCTAGGTGGATGACTTCGCACTTCCCTACACATTATACTTCATCTGCCACCTACCTGCCCAATCACCTAACCTATCTATGTCTCGCTGCATTTTTTTAATGTCGTCCTCTGTGTTGACACTTCCTCCTAGTTTTGTGTCATCCGCGAATTTAGATATATTAACTTCGATGTCCTCATCAAGATCGTTGATGTAGATGGTAAATAGCTGCGGCCCAAGGACTGATCCTTGTGGCACTCCACTAGTCACATCCCGCCAATCTGAAAAGGACCCGTTTATCCCTACTCTTTGTTTCCTACCCGTTAACCATTCCCCAATCCACGTTAATATGCTCCCCCCAATTCCATGGGCCCTTATCTTTTGGACTAACCTTTTATGCGGCACCTTATCGAATGCCTTCTGGAAGTCCAAATAGACCACATCCACTGATTCACCCTTATCTAGTTTCCTGGAAATGTCCTCAAAAAACTCTGAGATTTGTCAATCATGACTTCCTTTTGTAAAGCCATGTTGACTTGGCCTAATTATATTGTGGTCCTCTAAATACCGCACTACCACATCCTTAATCAATGATTCTAAAATTTTTTCCTATCACTGATGTGAGACTAACTGCCTATAGTTCCCCATGTTTTCCTTTCCACCTTTTTTAAATAGTGGTATGACATTTGCGATCTTCCAATCCATGGGGACTGTTCCAGAATCCAAGGAATTTTGGAAGATCAGACACAAGGCCTCCACTATCTCATAAGTTCCCTCTTTTAAAACCCTGGGATGCAAGCCATCTGGACCGGGGATTTGTCACTTTTTAGTGCTAACAGTTTCCCGAGCACCAATTCTCTACTAATGAAAATTTCCCTAAGTTACTCCCTGTCCATATCCCATTGGTATACCGACTTTTGCCGATTTGGTTTTCCCAATCTATGTGGAGATTGAAATCACAATATAAAGAACATAAGAGCATAAGAATTAGGAGCAGGAGTAGGCCATTTGTCCCCTCGAGCCTGCCCCGCCATTCAATAAGATCATGGCTGATCTATTCTAACTCCACCCGCCCGCCTTATCCCCATATCCCTTAATCCCTTAATAAAAGTGATATAAGACATTCAACCGTAACAATGCTGATCATCTAATAGTAGGTTTCTTTTGTAACCTTTGATCGTGTTGATTTAGAGGGTTGTTGGATAATAATATTAATGCAAGAATTTGTATAAATCCATTTTTAGCATACATAAGAGTATTACAGGATTTTCTTTCATCAAAGTTTTCATAGTGTTGCAAAAATCCTCAATAATCTGTAACTGATTCTTTGGTGTTCGTGGTACAATCAACTTTCTGTAACTGGCATTTCTAAACCTAATTCAGTCTTACTTTACTTCATGGTTCATTCACAACTGTTCCTGTTCCTGTTCGATGGACAAAATCGGGACAGCTTCTCATGCTTCCTATAAGCAGAATAACACCCATATTTTAGTGCTTTTAATGAAACTTATGTTTTTTTCAAGTTTCTGTAAAAATGCGTGCATTTTAAGTGGCAAATCTCCAAGCTCTAAGAAGAGTAGGGATCTGTATTTGGGCAGAGAAAATAAAGTAGGAGTGATGCCAAATAGAGGTCATGTTTCCCACCATAAATATGCCTCGCTTAGATTAACACAATTCACTAAAACGCATTACTTTTAGTAAATGTAAAAGAACAGGTGTCCTGAAAAGTATAACATTCTGATGGAATTTTTGGTCAATATCCCTTTTGTGTCTAAGTTTAAACAAAATAACACCCTAGGGTTACATTTTCAAGATTACACCATGATCACATCTGGTAACTGAAGTGCAGAGGCAAAATATGACCTGACAAGCACCAACAAATCTATAGGAGAAACTTAATCCCATTGCAGGCTGGCTAAACCACTGCACCAACACGATGGGAAGCCAAAAGCAATAAAACTAAAAAGGGACTTGTCAGGGACACTAAAGACAAATGAAAAACAATAAAAGGCATAGAAAAACTGAGGTGACCCATAAAAGATGCCAGGAGAGCCTGCTGTCTGCTGTGTCTAGATTAGAGGCCAGAATTTCATTTTCTAGAAAGAAAGCAATTGTACTTGGTTGTATTTAGAGAGAACTGGCATTTGAAATAGAAGCAAATAAAATATACTTTTTATTTTTAATTCTTGATTATGTGACAGTCTGACTCAGCTGTGCTGGGGCATGCTGCATTGTTGGAGGGTTTCACTTTAGATGAGACATTAGCCAAGGACCGTCAGATAGACCTTAAAGATCCCACGACACTATTCAACAACAATAACAAATTACATTTGTATAGCGTCTTTCACATCGGAAGGAAATTCCCTTCAAAAAGAGAAGGGAATTTCTCCTAGTGTCTTTGCCAACCATCCCCAAATAAAATTGGTTGTTTAGTTAATGACTGTTTGTAGGCCATTTGCTGTGTGCAAATATGAAATAAAAACAGAAAATGCAGCAACTCAAAGGAAACGACAGGTTAATGTTTCATGTGTGGCTCTTCATTAAAACTAAATTGGTTGTGCTGGAGAAGAACATATAGAAAAGAGGGAAGTTAAAGATCTTGCACAAAAAGAGGAGGATGTTTCCTGGTCAGTAATTCCCCAGATTAATTTGTCATCCTTTTCATGGATGTTTGGGGACATGGCTATACGTAACTTGGGTACAAGTACAGCCAGTACACTGTACAGACTTTTTGTGAAGTATTTTGGGATGTTGTAAGCATTATATCAAATGCAAGGACTATTATTATAACAGAAGGGATTTATCCCTTTACCTATAAATTTACAGCACAGAAAAAGGCCATTGGGCCCATCGTGTCAAAAACAGAAATCAGTTGCAGTGCTCTTTATGTGCTGATGAAGGAATAGCTTGCCTTATCTTATCTGCAACATGGTAAGGGAGAGATAGGTGAAAGTATATCACAAACCTGATTATACTCCAAGTAAACATCATCTATATACTTCTATACCTCTATGAGTTAGACTTGCCTTAAGCAATAAGTGGTGTTGGTGGTAGGGCATCCTTTATCAGCTTTTTACATTTGGTAGAAGGCTATTTGATAGATGTGTTTTCCCCAAATTGTAAACTTGTTTTGTCTTCCAAGACTACATTGTGAGCATATTTAAAGAATTTGGAATTTGGCATTGGCTGAAAAGTCTCCCTTATATTGGCTCAAGCTGATTCTTCCATTATTCAACTTTTGCTGGAACTAATGTGTGAGTCTGTGAAGAAAATCGCTAGAGACTTAGATCACGGATGGATCAATTCCATAATTTCTAATGCTGGGGACTTTTTAAAAGATGAATCAGGCATGACAAATATAAATTTCCAAAGATGGGGAATTTAAATGATTAATGTCAAAGACTCCTTTGTGGTACTGGTAAGGTTGGCAGAACACATCATTACCAACATCAATAAACATAGGCTTCAAGGAGTATGAGTAGCGTTATATAAACCTAACCAAAATTCCCTTTCTGTCAAAGTACTAAAAGAGTTTAAAGTATTATTTTTATACGTCTGCCAAAAACTTTATTCTCTAAGAACATGTATTATATCTTGCTTGCAAAATCCATTTCCATTAGGAATGAATCCTGCACAGACTTCACTGCAATACAAATTTGGCAATATAAATCATTTAGCATACAAGAATAAACATCATCCCCTCTGATTGCAGGTATTATATCAGTATTCCTGTGTCAGTGGATTACAATGGCTATCTGGTCCTTAACCTATTGAATCATTTAGATTTCTCCACGTCTCTAGGTATGTAAAGGATATCAGTGGTGTAACAGTTTGTGGCTTGATATTACTGCTGTTCCATCTCCTCATATTCTTCATTGGGTTAAAGAATGAGATTTATATGAGATAAAGAATGAGGGATAAGAAAATCATGTCTAAAATGAGATTACTGCAACTCTGCCGGCATCAATTCTAAACTTGCCATTAGTTTATGTTTGTGCATCTGAACTAGTTGTAATCCTTAGCTCAAAGCAGAACATACATCAAATAGCATTGAGTTCCAATCTGATGTATGTTTTATAATAATAATAATAATCCTTGCATTTGATATAGCACTTTTCACGTCTTCTCGATGTCTCAAAGTGCTTCACAGAATATACTGTAAAGTGAATTGACTGTATATTTGTGGGCGAAACGCGGCAGCCAATTGCGCACAGCAATGTCCCACAAACAGTCGTGGATTGAAAATGACCAATTTATTATTGTTTTGTTTTTTTGGAGGGATTATTATTAGGTGTGCGGAGTAAGGAAACTTGCCCAAGGTTTCACCCTGATGCCTGGAATTGAACCCAGGTGTCTCGCTTGCAAGGCGAGTGCTCTAACCACTGAGCTACAGGACTCCAGATGTTCCATGAGAGGTGAACATCAGTAATAATAATAATCCTTGCATCTGATGCACCGCTTTATCACTTCTTTGAGATGTCTCAAAGCACTTCATAGGTCTAAAGCCATTTGATAAACTTTACTTTAATAATTTTGTTTACCAGCTGCTTTAGAATTAGAAGTATGAGGTGGACATCTTTTTTAAATTCTACGCTAGCAGACAAAACAAAGTAGGCATTATTTTTGGAAGAGTTGTACGTTTGATACAACACTAAACTAGTTGTGATTGTGGTTACTGGAATTGCTATTATTTGATTTTTTGATGAACTTTGTGAAATTACCTTTTTTTTAGCACAAACATTTAGTAAAGTGCTGTGTTTTAAAGGCAGGACAGCAGGGAACTGATACTAGAAGTCATACTAACATATCTGAGTTAGACATCTGTGTTTTTATGCTGAGTGGTCTGCTGTTTTAACATTTTAATAATTTTTTTTAAACTACATTTGGCACATGTTTACAATTGCAACTGTGGTTAACTTTTGGCACCATTCTGTGAAATCATATTGTCTCGTGGGTTTAAGATCAACTTGCTTTGGGGAGTAGGGCAAATGAGAGGTGATCTTAACACTTGCTCTGCTGAATAATAAAGAACTGTCAGCTGGACTTTCAAGAGCCAAGAATGGCTTAGTAGGTAAAAGCTATACAAACTAGCAGAAAGTCACAGATGTGAAATCCAGTCCGCATTGAGTTATCTTAGCTGGGACAGCAGTAGAAAAAACATAACTGATTTAATTGCTGAAGTTGAGGAGGAGAAAATTAAATTTCACAAGATCACAAGGTTGATTTAGATAAAGAAGGCTTTTTGACCCATCTAATCTCATCCTACCAGAATATGCCTGTGCAGTTTCAGTCCAATTCTCGGTTTACATTATTGTGCAGCAAATTCCTCCCCCAATTGACAATCAACATAATGAAATGATTGAAATTGACATGATATTTTCTGTTCCATATGGTGTTAACTGTGTGCATAATGTAAGCCTACAAAGGTTCCAGTTGTGAAGGGTACCATTATAATGTGATGAATTGCAGGATTATTGACAGAATTTCTTGTTTCTTTATGGAAATTAATAATAATAATAACCTTGCATTTGATATAGCTCCTGATCACGTCTTTGAGACGTCTCAAAGCGCTTCTCAGAACATACTTTAAAAGTGAATTGACTGTGTATTTTGTGGGCGAAAAATGGCAGCCAATTGAGCACAGCGGCGTCCCACAAACAGTCGTGGATTGAGGGACCAAATTATTCTTTTTTTAAGGGATTATTACCCCCGGAAAAGCATTTACTCAGCATTTATTATTCCATGTTTCTTTTTATACCTACAGTAACAGATATATGTGATATTTCACCAAACATTTGTGGTCCGGGACATTGCATCAGTCGAGAAGGTAGTTACACATGTAGCTGTGACCCTGGCTATCACCTAGACAGCCAACATACCAAGTGTGTTGGTAAGAAACTCTTTATAAATGTTCTTTGCGAATAATTGAAATTAGCTGATCATAGTCTACAATAAAACACATTCGGATTAATTTGATTAAAATAATTTTTTGTAATTCTGGTTATTTTTTATGCTTATTTTGCCTTTTGAAAGTTAGCTGTAAGGATATTATAATAATCCTTGGATTTGGCATAGCACCTTTTACATCAGGCGAATGTCCCAAAGTGCTTCACAGGATATATTGTAGAGTGACTATATGTTTTGGACAGACGTGGCATCCACGTTTTGCACACAGCAGTGTCCCATGATTGTTACTGACGCTGATATTATTTTACAGACTATGATGAATGCAGGCAAATTCCACAGCCTTGTAACTATGGAAAATGTGAAAACACTGCAGGAGATTACCGATGTATATGTTCAGCAGGATTTATACCTAACCAACAGGGCACAGACTGCTTAGGTAAAAAAAATGTTTTTTTGTTGCTTTGTTCAATGCTTTCTCTGCCCAATGCTGATATCTGAAGAATTCAATGGCTGAAACTACTGGTATTGTAAAATGCACCATAATAGAAAAACTGGCACTAAATTAATGCGAACATGAAAAACGGTAGAGTTGAAGTGAATTTAACGCATCTATATATTTTATAACATTTCATCGTGATTATTGGAATAAAATTCCAACAACTTAAATAGTAAATAATGAATCTCTTTAGCCTTTTTTTAAAATTCTGTTTAGTATCAATTTTAGGTTATTTATTCATTCATCAAAAATTCCACGTTAAGTAAAATTGTTAGCAAACACAGTTGAGTAGATGCTCACAGCAAAGGCTGTTGACTTTTCTGGTTAAAAGGAAGAAGTAAGGTAGCAAATGGAAAGTGCAAATGGAATCTGATTTCTGGTAAAAAATAATGAATTACCATTTTTAATTCAAAATGAAGGTAAATTAAATTTTTATCAACACGGTTTTCCCAAAATAGAAATGATTTGGGTTTACAGATTCTTGAGTTGATTCCACTTCTCCGCATGCAAGGATGACCAAAGTGAAAGATGACTCAATAACCATAAATATTTTCAATGCTTCCACTAAATACATCCATACATAGTTGATGAATTTGATTCTGGTGAAGGCTTTCTGTTATTACTGTGGAAAGAAGAACCATATAAGTTTCCATGAGATTCATTCAGTGGCAATACAATATGAAACTACTAGTTCAAAAGTCTAACAATGTTTTTTATAATTCATTCAACCAATTACGTGACAATTTAAATGACTGAAATTGTTTTCCAAGAGAAATCTGCCTAATGATGCATTACAAAAACATTTCCTATGGCCCTATCATTTACATGATCTTCTGAATGTTTGTGTTTGGATCTGAAGATATCGATGAATGTGAACAGGATCCATGTGAGGGAAAAGGTCGTTGCATTAATATGGTGGGGACACACTCCTGTGCCTGCTTTTCTGGCTACACATTAGTCATTTTACAAGAGAAGCAAACTTGCCAAGGTCAGTATTGATTGTGTTAGGAAACATAACCATATAATTTAGTTTTTTAATACCAAGCAGAGTGTTTATGATTCTGTTTTATGTCCAACCATAATAATACTTGTACATAATTCATTGTTGTATCACTTAGAGAAGAGGACTTGAAAAAGTGATATGATTAAAATATTCAAAATAATAAATGGAATCGACAAGAAAGATAGGGAATTATTTTTCTCTGCATATAATCTGTATATTATTTCCCCTATAAAAATATTGTCAAGATGTATCAAATTTTTTCACCCTTTAATTGGTTCATTCCTTTACAGGGTTGTCTTTTTATTATATTTCTTTTACACATGTTGAAATCTGTTTGCATTTTGATGTCTATAGTTAGGTGAAAAACAGATTATAGTATCAGTTTCCCTCCTTTGAAAATTGCCAGTTTCCTGCATTATTTAGAAAAAAATATATTTATAAATTCACGATATTTCTGGCTGTCTCTCTGTTCTGATATTCTTATACTAAACTAAACTCTTTGAAGCAATATTGTTCAGATTTGATCATAATAATAATCCCTGCATTTGACATAGTGCCTTATCACAACATTGAGACGTCTCAAAACACTTTGCAGGATATACTGTAAAGTGTAGTGACTGGGTATTTTGTGGGCGAAACGCGGCAGCCAATTACGCACAACAATTTCATGCATTTCCATTATGCATGAAATTATATTAAATGTCTTAAAGGTCTGGCAAAGCCATTGATTTTTTAGTCTGAATTGAATATACTAATGGAAAACAAATGTTATATAAAAGTATTCTATTATTAATTGAATTATAATAATGTAAAGTATAATTTCACAGATTTGCAGTAAGCCAATTGATGGAAGGCAAGATAAGTATGCAGTAAAGTCTATCAACTTGGATAATTAGCAATATATCTTAAACAAGGACTGCTCAGCATCTGTTCCTAGTTCCAAACTTCCTCTTTTGTGATAATAAATATCAGTCCCACTTCTAACTAAAGCTTTATTTAACACTTTGAAATTCAGTCCCTGTTAAGACAAGCTTTGTTACAGCAAGTATATGCTTATAATCATCAGATTAGCAAGTGGAAATAATTTTCACCCTGGTTCAAAAATGTGAAAAATGTAATTATTTTGGTGTCTCACAGTGTCTATTATGCATGAAATTGATTCTGGATGCAGTACTAGCACATGTGCATCAAACATTGATTTGATAATTGTAGATTGTTTACAGCACTTTTTCACACACAAAGTGTGGGTGGGTCGTGGAAATCTGGAACTCTCTTCACCAAAAGGCTGTGGATTATGGCTGGATCAATTGAAATTTTCAAGACTGAGGTGGAGAGATGTTTGTTAGGTCAGGGTATCAAGGAATATAGAGCAAAGGCGGGTAATTGGAGTTGAGGTAAAGATCAGTCATGATCTAATAGAATGGCGGGACATGCTACAAGGGGCTGAATGGCCTATTCCTCTTGCTTTGTTCCTTAAAAGGAGGCCATTTTGCCCATCATTTCTAGATAGGTTTAATTTCCCCATTGCAGCTATCACTCTAATCACTTCTTCTGCTTCCTCAAATATTGCGAATTATTTTTTAAGTACTTATTTGCTCAAGTCCCATTTAATTACATTAAAGTACTTCCTTGCACTAAAAGTCAAATTAGCTTAATTTTGTAATAGATTAGATGATATAACGGTAGAAACACGAATTCTAACATATACTAAGTTATATAACTCTTATTACTGAAATAATGAGTCTGTTTCCTGCTGAGCAGCCATTGTTGTGGTCCAAGATGTAGACAAGCTTTAAAGCCATGCCAATAAATGTTATTACAAAGGAAAGAAAATTGAGTGACATTAAATTTTGGCTTTAATGAATGTGATGAATTAGAAGATTATTAAAATCGATATTTATGAAATTGTGTTCATGCAATTATTCTTAATACATGTTGGTAATAACCCCACCATTTAAACCATTAAATATGTTTGTACCTTACAGTGATAAATGGATTTTTGCATCAACGCCTAAGAATGATGCTTTAAGAAATTGAATAATTAACAGCGTTAATAATTAAATATATTTTCTAAAGAAAGAAAGAAAAAGAAATTGGATAATATTCTGAACATCCAACTTCCTTCAGCATTGTGTTTTACCATCAGTAATAATTTATCTTTTCTTTTAGTTTTCAAAGCAGGATTTGTTAACCTGCTTGACTTTCACTACTTTTTTCATTTTATCTCCAATTCCATGTTTCATTATACTTATTTCATGACTGTGAAATATTTTGCAAATTATGCAATACTGTATTTTTCAAGAGTGAAATGAATTCCAGTGGATCCAAATGCTTAATTATCACCACCGATGAAATGCAACATATAATAAGTATATGGATCCTTCAGAATTTATATAGATACAGTATAAAAAATTGCCATCCATATGATGTGTGCACACTGGGGCATTCAGTGCTCAGTGATATTAGAAGTGGATGGAAGTGTCTAAGAGCTAGTCTGATGATACAGTGGTCATAATCAGGTTTGCTCCCACATATTATAAATAGGCTGTCAGAGAGAATAAGAGACAATCAGCACAACCTGTATATTGTGCTACTCAGTAACACTTTTAAATACTTTTAAGAAATATGTGCTCTAAAGAAGTTTATAGTTTGAATCTTTGAGGAATGAAAAAGTCTATGCAGCTTAATGCATCTTCCAGGTTATTTTTCAGGTCTTCCTGAAACCCAGGTCCCTCTGCTGTGATATAAGGAAATGATTTTTAAGAGATCACATGTTAAGTGAATGATAAAACATATTGCAACAGCTCAAAAAGTCTCAGTAAATGAAGAGAATTAGACTTTAAAGCATAGTTTCGACCAAATGTGCTACTTCAATCAAACAACTGTGGTAGTAAAGCAAAAATTATAATAACGCATTCTTTAAATCAGGAAATGAGAAATAACAAATGAACCTTGTGTAAGTGCACTCTTTGATTATTTCACTCTTGGTCAGGCTGAGCTTGTGCTTTCTGCTGTCCAGAGATAGCATTTATTTTTCTTAGTTGACATATGGCAGTAATCAATAACATGGCCTTTTGATTGAAAAAATAATGAGCGAATTATGAATTTAATTCCAAACACAAAATGAATACTTTGGATTAATTTCAAGGATATCCAAATGTATCCATTCAAACATGCCCTATTCAGATGCTTTTAATTTGATTGTGTACCTCAATTGTAATTATAAATCATTATGCCCACCATGTGTCCTCCACCTGTTTCACTGACCCCCTCAGATTCTGTTGACAACTAGTAGAAATCTAAGTCATTAACTCAAATTATAGAACCAGTTTGTATTCAGTAATTTATCTCATTGCTGTTTGTGGAATATTGCTGGTGCAAATTAGCTGCCATATTAGGTTAGATTACCATCAATACACATCAAAATAAATCATGGGCTGAACAACTTTGAGACATTGCAACTCTGTGAGGAGCTTTATCAACTGATACGACTTATGTCAGGTTTGCTGTATACACTGTCTTATTTCAAGCACTATCCTGTAAACTATGACATCTTAATTTGAAACTTTAAATCCACAAATCTATTATTTGTCTGCAATTGTCTCATTTTTGTCATAAAAATCTTGACCATTATTTAATAGGAAGAAACGTTTGTTACTGTTTGTCTCAGTGCTCCACAAATGAATGTATTCACTGATTACTCTATAGGCTAAGCAATGAGTCCTAAGTCTGGAATCTTACTGAAGTGGCTACGTATTACTGATGTGTATTATTCAGTTTTGCTAGAGAATTTGACAGCAGGCACATCAAAGCCAAACTAATCTGGCCCTCACCTGACATGCACCATTATTACGCCTGTAACAATTGCTTTGTAGTGGTCAGGTGAGGGAAACAGGGAACTTGAACACTACAGGGGACAGGACAATAATTTTCCTAGACCAGCCAATGATTTAAGGAATAATTATGGGTGGTAGAGTAAGGTTTTACTTGTTAAATTGTGGTCAAATTGAGGTTGGCTATTTCACAAAGCTTCAAAGTGGAAAATTGTGTCCAATCAAACCAACTTCCAACTTTCTGAAGTTACAAGCAAGGCTGGCTCTATCTCAGCCCCTGCTTGGCTATGAGAAAATCACAAAAGAAAATGGAAAATTATGAATATAGTTTGTCTTTGGACATGGTGCTTTTATCCTCATAGAGTTAAAATGTTACATCAAAATGTTATTGTAAAGGTTATCCTATTAATTAGTGAACCAGATGGTAGATTTATATTATACAATATTGTACAGATATTTTTCAGATTTGCAGATGAAAGATGTGTATACCTAGTTAAATGTCTGCTCTGTGGCAGACGGGAGCTTGAATAACTTCAGTGCAAGTTACAAAATTTTGACAGTACTTTTTCATTATTTTTCATAACCTTTTTTATCGACTTGTTTTGAAATGAATGGAGAAGCATTGATTTGCTTTCGTATCCAGTTTAATATAATGCAGTGAATTTTCACATTCCAAAAATAACATTCTAATAACTTCAATCTCGTATTTCTCTGACCTGTTAATAACAGATATAAATGAATGTGAACAGCCTACATTGTGTCGGCGAGGACGTTGCACCAATACACCAGGTTCTTATCGCTGTGATTGTGATCAGGGCTACATCATGACAAGACAAGGACAGTGTGATGGTAAATAAGATTAATTTGCGATTCAGTAGTAAATTCAATCATAATTATTGAGGAGTAAATGTCCATGTCAGGACTTTGAACGCACAGTTAGGCTGGTATCCCATGCAATGCTGGGGGAGTGAGAAATTAATTGTTGGATGTACTGTCCCTTGGATGAAACATCAAACCGAGAATTACTCCAGGATGCATCATTAGAGCAGAGCAGGAGGACGTATGTTTACAGTTGTAAAGAGGAATTCCAGGATAGGTACCAGGAAGTTTTTCTTAATACAGGAGGTGATCAATGACTGGAACAGCTTACCAGAGGCCAGGAAAATAGACTTGTTTACAAACCAGGTTGATTCAGTGATGGGGAAGCATTAGGGTGGATGAGATGGATGGGCTGAAGGGCCTTATTCGTCCAGACCATCTTATGATCCCATCTGGTTGTTTAAGTGGATATTAAAGATCTTATGGCAGTACTTGGAAAGAGAAGTTTCTCTAACTGTCCTGTATTCACAAAAATACATTTGGTTATTCACTTCATGGCTGTTTATGGGATATTGCTGTGGGCAAATTTGCTGCCACATTCGCCTACAAAATAAATAGTCACTACACTTTACAGTAAACCCTGTGAAGCTCTTTGGGATGACCTCCAGACACGAAAGCAGATGTTTCCTGAGAGCCATTTATATTGTGTTGTTCACCTACAAAATACACAGTCGTTACAGTTACAGTAAATCATCCCAATGTGAAAAGCACCATCAAAGATTAATATTATTATTTAACAGATATTGATGAGTGTCGTAATCCGACTGCCTGTCCTACTGGAAGATGCATTAATACTCTAGGCTCCTTTGAATGTGTGAGCTGTCCAACTGGATACAAGGCCCAGAATGGAAGATGCCTAGGTAAGATACATAGAGTTACATTGATTTTTGTTGTCATTATTCAGTAACAAATCATTAATCATTCCTAAATCTCATCCAATGCAAATTGTCAAGTCTATGATTTTTATTAAATAAAAGCCTGATTTGGATTTTGCTCAATATACTTTACTTTCAAGACATGTGAAAGTTTGCCAGCTTTAAACGTTAAAAAATCTTTATTTTTCAAGTCTGTTATGGAGTCTTATGATAATATGTTGTAAAATGATGACAAGTTAGTGATGGAAAGAAAAACAAAGATGTAACTTGTCTAGTATAAGTCAAGGTTCAGATAAAGGTTGTGATTGGAATTCAGAAACAACCGATACATCTGTTAGATATAATCTGTTTTATTGGAGTAACTCTGCTGCATTTTCACTTTCAAATAGTAGGAAATTACTAATAACATTGCTTATCTGCCAAGAATTCATAAGTTAAGTGGGAGGTGGAGATTATTTGGTAAATGTTCCATGTCAAGCATTTGGCTGAAGACTAACATTCTGGTCATCAAAAGAAAATTAACCCTTTCTTAGCAGTTTCACTTTTAGCCTTTTTTTAGCGTTCATCTTCACCTTGTCTCTTTCAATGGCTTCTCCTCCCACCCCGGCACAGTCACGTGCAGTGTTTTCTCAGGGATCCATGCTTGGTCCTCTCTTTTTCACATTCTATATGCTCCCATTGGCAACAACAGGCTTAAGATAGGTCCACATGTAAGTGGGTGACACCTAACGCTATCTCTCTATCTCTACCCTCAATTATAAGACCATTGCTGTTCTGACCAATTACCTGTCAGACATCACGTCTTGGATAAGCTCTAGCTTTCTTCAGTTGAATGCTCCTCCCTACCTCTGACTTCCAGCAACTTCCGATCAGGCCACACCCTCAGCTAACACTAGCCTGCTTGTCTCCCACCAAATCCTCACCACCGCCGGTGAACAAGCGTTCAGCCATTCTGCTCCCTCTCTCTTGAACTCCATCCCAAGTCTCTCTGCCTCTTACTGTCCTGACCCATCTTTAAAGCCTGCCTTAAGATCTTTGTGACCATTGTTTGAATCATCTTTCCATCCTTCCCCTCAGCTGTGTGAAGTGTGTTGAGACATCTGCCCATCACTAAAGGTGCTATATAAATGTAAATATAAATATAAATTGAAGCTGTTGCTTGCAACCAATATGGTAAAGCTTCAGTCGCAGCGAATATTACAGTATCAATTGTACAGTATTATTAGCATTCTTTAAAATAAACATCTCAGGCAGTCCAGTAATGTAGCACATTACAACAAAAACAAAATCAATTTGTAAAGCGCCTTTCACATCAGGAGGACGTCCCAAGGCACTGGACAGACAGGGTTTCAGACCTGAGCTGGGGGTCGGGATCGGGGAGGGCAGGGGAGAAGCAAGGAGATCGAAAGCACGGTCGAAGAGAAGGGTCTTGAGATGGGTCTTGAAGGTGGCAAAGGAGGGGGAGAGGCGGAGGGACTGCGAAATGGAGTTCCAGAGGGTGGGGACAGAGTGGTAGAAGGCCTGCCCGCCAATAGTGGGGCGAGCGAGGCGGGGGACATGAAGCAGGCCGGAACCCGCTGAGTGGAGGGAGCGAGCGGTATGGTAGGGGGTTAGGAGGTCACAGAGGTAGGAGGGAGCAAGACCGTTGAGGGCTTTGAAGGTGAGGACCATATCTGTGGATGATGTCACCAAGAGGGAGCATATAGATATTGAAGAGGAGAGGACCAAGGACAGAGCCCAGGGGAACGCCGCACAAGATGGTGCGGGGGCTGGAGGAGAAACCGTTTATGGAGATGAAGTGAAGGCGGTGTGAGAGGTGGATCTGAACCAGTCAAGGACATTAGTGCACTAACGCATTGCTGCCGCATAGTAGAGTAAGACTCTAGATTTCAAGTCTGAAAATCTGCACATAGAGCATTCTGTCTCTGTTGAGCTGTTAAAGAAAAAACGCGAATCAAAGTTGAGACACTTTCTCACAGACAGAGAAATAAATCAGATACCAAACCACCTCAGGCTAGTTTCATCCATTTAATCTCAAAGTTAGCATCTGGCTGAACAGCAGCATTGAATAGATACCTGGGACCAGATTGTCTGTCCCAGGCTTGTTCATGGAATGGAGTGTGGTACAGGAGGACTAAAAGAGGCAAAAATAACAAAGGAAATGGTTGGTGAGAATAATTTTTTTTATTACCTTCCATTTCACTTCTCTGCAATGCTATATCAAGGCTCTGGGGCCCTCGATCACTTAAGCGGCCTTAATTTGTGGGTGAATCTTGACAGTGAGAGTTGGAAAGATATTCACACCCAGAGAAGAATTCTGCCTTCATCCTACATCCATATGTGTGCACTTTTCAGCAGCAGTTTCTGGATAACGATCAGAAGCTGGAACCCTGGCTCCCTTAACCTGGGCACTGACGTCAATAGGAAAATCCCATTCGCTGCCCTACCTGTGATCATCTAACTTTGTGCTGTAGTGGGTAATTCCTTTTTCCCACTAGGTCATCACAAAAACTATAACGTATTATTCCTTAAATTCTTCCGTGTGACAACTAAGATATTTAGGATGTGTAGTACATGCTAGACTATTATCAGCTTGGTACGTTTGTATTGTACTGTATTGTAATTTGCTGAATGGTTGAGTGCTGCTAAATGGCTTGGGGCAGCGTATAATGTTTGAACTTTTTTAAGTTCATTACTCAAAAGCAGCAGACATCAAGAATATAACAATAACATTCACAATCTAATGCAATTACGTATACCCATTAACTGTGTAAATTCTTATTTTAACATGTCCACAGTTCATTTCTACTCAAACTTGTTCCATTTAGCATGTAATAAGTGGCATTTATTTTAAGGTTATAGTTTTGCAATTACAAATGGCAATTTGGTATTTGTACATTTGCTCAGCCACAGCTCAAACTTAGAAATCCAAAGTCAAATCAAATTTAATAACAGTTATTTTTCTCAATTGCCGTTCGCATGCTGGTACATTTTTGTGGGGTCTATCACATGCCTAATGCTAAAAGTAGTAACCATTTGTTTGTTTTCCTTCACTTTGGCTCTGCAGTACCTTGCGTAAGTGGCCATAGTTCACATACAAGTCTTGACATTGGGTTTGGCAAGCTCTTTAACCACATGGGACATTGCAGTCTAGCCAAATATTGTCCTCAACCAACATTTACATAAACACACACATTTTTCCAGCAGGGAATCACTGGTAACAATTAGGAGCAGGATGTCTGGCTGATTGTCCATTCTCTTATTTTTAATGACCTATACTTGGACCCTTAAATTCCATGCTTTCGCATCCACTGTTTCCCTTGATTCAATTCAAATTCTATAGTCACATGCAATTCAATTTAAGTATGATGGTTGTCAAATTGTTAAGTTCCATATTGTTTAACAATTGATATTCTACTCCACTTGGTCAGATGCAGGACATTGCAGAGCCCGCAGCCCACCATTTGGATAACATAAGGAAGAGCTGGCAGATTATTTGTTGAGTTATCCCCTTATAATGGGCTGCAGGGGAGAAGGGCATTATAATGGGACAAAAGTATTTGCTATTTATTACAAACTAAATGATGCTTGCCTCAGCACCAGAGTGATAATCCAATGCATAACAACATAACTAGTGCATGAGTAAAATAGACAACTGAATATGGAAAGCCACATAATGGTCAGTTAGGATCTACCCAAAACACGTTAAAAGCAAATTGTGGCCAACTAAATTCTAATTCATCCTTGGCAGATTTTCTTTTAGTGTTTCCATATTGGGATCTAATATGTGGCAATTCATATCTGGAATTACAATTAGCAAAGTAGATCATATAGGTCATTCTGACACAATTCACTGTCAATGAAAGATAGCCTAAATTAAGGAAATCTCTGTTTTATTTCACCCCATTTCCTTTACATTAGACTGTACAGCACAAAAACAGGCCAGTTGGGCCAAGCAGTCTGTGTCACTGTTTATACTCCACATGTGTCTTTTTGGGAAGGGGATGGGTTGGTTTAGGTGCATAGCAGTTTAATATATATGTGGTGTGTCTTTACAGAATGTTTTTATGGTTGTTTTTACCTAAAATGATTTTTCTTAACCTCTTGTAGGACTGCCATATTTCTGTATTAAATTAAGCAAATATACTGCCAGTTAGTCATGATTCCTGGTATTAAAGTGATTAAATTAAATATACCTTTGAAACTGCCAAAGGGCTGAAATTCTAGTTGCCATTTTCTGCAGCAATTTAGATTTTTTGTGATTATAATTGGGAAGTCCCATTAGAAGCCAACATCATAAATGTTGCTTCACTGAATGACAACCAGAATTTCAGCCCTCAGAGCTCCAAAATTGCTTCTGAGAAAATAAGCTGCTTTACTGATATCTTGCATTATACAACAAAACTGAGATAAGTACTTTCACTTAGCATAATGTCTTAAGACACTTTACAGGGTTGGAGTGGAAACCTCAGAATGAGGAAAGATGAGGGAGGTATATAGGTAGGTGATTGAAGACACAAAAAGGTAGATTTTTAGAAGGGTTTTTAGAAAGCCAGGGGTGTAATAGAGTGACTTTGGGAGAGAATTGCAAGGAGCAGGGGGAAGTAGTTGAAAGCAATGGTGGATTAGCCAGAGCCAGGGAGTTGCAGCAGGCTTAAATAGAGTTGGGGGAGCACGTGTGGAAGTAGAGATGGCAAGAGTGTCACATCTCTACAGTTGGAAACCCTTCTTGAATTGAGTATTATTTGGAATAATAGTGGGTCCTCGCCTGAAGGGCATTAAACCGGGTACACCGTCACAGACTGTTGAAATAATTACATTTTTGCTGCGTTCGTCCTGCACAAAGTCATCTCAAGCTAATTAGAACATACGGTGACCAGTTGTGTTTGAAAATGTGTTTTTGTTGTATCGAGACAGCAAAATTCCTAACGTCTTGGAATTTCTTTGTGTAACTCCTGCCTATAATTTTTACAGTGCCCCCTTTGCGTTTGTGAAAAAAAAAGTTTTATGACAAAGAATAACATTCATAACAAACATTTTGCCTGTTAAATCATTTGGTGTGTCATTCAGTGTAACAGCAATAATTTTTTTAATGTAATAATTGTGTTCCAGTGAGGTTATGTGCAGGTGGCAGTTCAAAGAAACACTGTTAACCTCCTGTGTAAAACTGTGGAGTGTTCCAGCGCCTGAGGAATAGCAACTCACAACTTTTGAAAAGCAAAATATAGGCACACAGGGCCCTTTCTTGGATGAAAAAAATGCCCAACAAATTGTGGAATTTATGCAAAAATGAAAAAAGGTTCTGCCAGCAACTCTTTGTGTAGACTATTCTCAACTCTGCCAATATAAACTTATATCCATCTATGTGAAATAATGTTTTAACAGTTTCCCTCCTTCAGCCTGTTTACTATAGTGTGCATGTTCTACAGATGGTGGGATAGTCTGGGTTGTCTAATGTTTCAGATTCTGTTGTGAATGCATTCCTGCCCTTATCAGTTAATAAGAAAAGGCTACTTGCCCCAGGAAGCCATTTCCCTCCATTTATAATACTCACTCTCGTGTTCAAATCCCTTCATTCCCTGGCCCCTCCCTCCTTCCCTCTCTGTCCTCCTCACTCCCCAATCCACCACTTGGCGCCTCCGCTTGACTGGCACCGGCTCCTGCTCGTTCTTCACACCCTCCCCCCACCATCGGAGGTCGTGCATTCAGCCACCACCCCCTGAAACTCTGGAACACCCTCCCTCAATCCCTCTGCCTTGGCCCCTCTCTCTCTCCTTTACCAAGTCCAGCCTGAAAGCCTTCCTCTTCGACCGTGTTTACAGCCCCCCCCCCACCACCTCCGGCTCGGAATCAGGCTCCATCACTGTTAAGTGCTCTGAGATGCTACCCTGCGTGGTGGGCGATATATAAGCGCAAGTTGTTGTTGTTATAAGGAAACAAATTAACTATATAATTGACTTCACCATAACTACTCTGCCTGCTGAAGGAAAGCTCTGCACATAGACTTTCTGAATCCCCACCCCCAAAAACAATATATAAACTATTCACTTTATTCACCCACACCCTCACTGTTCAATACTGACCCCCTCACCTAAAACCATAGATATTTACTGCACCAAATAAGGCCATTGTGTCTATGCCAGCTCCTTTAAGATCAATTCCTTTCATTCCCATTTCCCTGCTCTTTCCTCATAACCTAGTAGCTGATTCCTTTTAAGGTATTTATTTAGTTGCACAGGCAATATACCTCCCCTCCCCCACAATAGCTGGACAGAAATCATCTCATTCTGCATTAACCCTGGATTTTTGATTCCTTTTTCAAAGTTTTTTAAATTCTTCTGGAATGAAAGAAAATCTACAAGTATTCCAATTAGCGTTTGCACCTGTGGGCTGGGTAGAGGAACAATCCACCAAGATTTCTATTGCTGAATCACCTCCACTGTGTCTAACCCATGGAATTGTATGTCAGCATCATTAGGAGAGAGGGCATGGGATAAACAGAAGGAAGGACAATTATTCAGATGCTCCAGATAGACAAATTTACAATCACTAATGCTTCTATTGTGTTGTACCCATTTCAGATGAGAACGAGTGCTTGACCGCTGGTGTTTGTGAAAATGGGAAATGTATCAATCTAGATGGTTCTTACAGATGCATTTGTAACCAAGGCTTTAAACGTATGGCAGATAACAAGAGCTGCAGAGGTATGTACATTCTTTATATAATGCAACTGATTTCCTGCTTGTTTACAACAGTACAACTGAATTTGTAATTATTAATGTAAAGTAGTATTAATATTGGCTAATTAAAGTAAATGAGCAGTGACTACCTACTCTCAGGTTAAATAGTTGAAGGGTATATAAATATATGTATGGGCATTGTTATCCTGACCTCAAACCTGATCTCAAGAAAAGGATCTATGACCTCTTCATTCATAAAGAATCATCAGATCATTGCTTTAGTGTTTCAAACCACTGATTTCTGCTTCTCAAGCACTTTATATAGTGCCTCCACATGAGGTCCCTTCATTTTATCAAACATCCATTGCCCTTCTTAACTTAGATGCTCTATTTGATTAATGCTAAATCTTGCTTTCAGAAAGTTTCCTTGAAGTAACCAGCAGCGTGCAAAGCCGTGTATCTTCCCCTTTACATGAAAATAAACAAAATGAAAGAGCAGCTTGATGCTGCAATGGGGGGACAATAGAGAGGGTTTCTGGAAGGATGAGATCAGATGCGCCAAAGGGCCTTTTTCATCCAAACTAATCATGTGATCTTGTGTAAGATGTGCCAGGTTATTCACAATTCAAAAACCTGGCTGTGATTCAAAATAATCGTACATGTCATTGAAAGATTGGATCACGCAAACATTCCTGAATGTACAGACATTGAGAGTGAATGACAATGTCATACAATACAGATTTACATTTATATAGAGAGGCCTTTCCAAGGTACTTAAGAGTCCTGGCTTGGGAGTGGGAGCCGAGGGGGTGGGGAGGGGAAAAATGAAAAAAAGGCTTGAGATGACCCTTGAAAGAGGTGAGATAGAGAGCAAACTGTTCTCGACTGGATCTAGATGATTAAGCCAATCATGTGGTTCAACATTGGAACAGGGATGGGACAGTTTGCAAAGCATTTTTAACATGATATCTATTTAGTGGAAACTATTAAGAGGCCACTAAAGATCTCAGACAAAACTAATTTACTAGTGTCAGGCACTGTATAGTTCCATTTCTCAGCAGATTATGGACTTTATCAACGGTATCATCAGGGAACTCCATACAAATCTTTTAAATTGAAGTGTTTGCAATCAGCTCCAAGTTTCTGTTTTTATATGTTTGTCTTTGCACATAGTTTTATACTGATGTCAGTGCTAAATTATTCACTGCCGTGATGAGAGATTTTTCAAAGTCTATTTCTGAGACACAGCTGAAACACTTGACAAGTTAAGTCATTTGTAGTCTGGAACACAGTGGTAATGGGATTGGATTGTTGGACCAATTATATTTTATTATGTTATTTCGGCATTAATGTATTGATTTTCCAACTAGTATCATTTTAAATGTTATCAAATTGCAATAATAAGGAATTATAAAGTTAGTAATAAAACACAGTAGCAATGAGTTACCAGTGGTAAACTACAATGCCATTATTTATTATAAGTACAGTTAAACAGAAGTTGTTAAATTGCAATTGTTAAATACTCAAACAAATATTACATCTGCTGAAATTGGACACAATTTAGGACTTTCAAACAATGTTTAATATTCAGTAAATAATAAAACAAGTTATTGGTTGGAATTCTTACATAAAGATCCCTTCATTTAATCCAAGCTGCTGGATGGTTCTTCCATCTGGCACCATTATAGGAAAAAGTAATAAGGTTTTAGGTTGATCCTTTATAACAAAGGCAAAGGGCAAATGTTGATCTCCATTTTGGATATTATCCAGCACAAGTATATATTGTATTTCAAAACAATGAGGAACTCTCATACTTCTCATATGCGTAGTATCTAAAATATTTTTGAATCACTCATTTCTGATAAACCTTTGCAAAAGTACAGTTTTTAAAAATGTACTTTTGACAGTCTCTTGAACCAAATGATGTTACGTATATTTGAATTGAATATGAACAGCAACGATACAGATTTGTGAATTTGGAACACTGTATTGTATGTGAAAACTCAAATCCAAAGTTAACCATTAGCTTCTTGAACATGAAGTGCATGAACATGAACAGGACCCGAGCAAGGGGGAAATGGTCAGTGTGAGGGGAGGGAGCGAGGAGGGGGGAAATGGTCAGGGTGAGGGGAGGGAAGGGAGGGAGCGAGGAGGGGGGAAATGGTCAGTGTGAGGGGAGGGAAGGGAGGGAGCGAGGAGGGGGGAAATGGTCAGGGTGAGGGGAGGGAAGGGAGGGAGCGAGGAGGGGGGAAATGGTCAGGGTGAGTGGAGGGAAGGGAGGGAGCGAGGAGGGGGTAGAGAGTCGAGAGGGGAGCTGAAGGCTGAAGGTCAAAGAGAAAGGTCTTGAGACCGGCCTTGAAGGAGGAAAGGGAGGAAGCGGCGAAGGCACTGGGGATAGAGTTCCAGAGCCTCGGGGCTGAGAGGCTGAAGGCCCGGCCACCGATAGTAGGGCGGTTAGGGCGGGGGATATGGAGCAGACCGGAGCCAGAGGAACGGAGGGTAGGTAGGGGGATAGTAGGTCGGAGAGGTAGGAGGGAGCGAGGCCGTGAATGGCCTTGTAGGTGAGGGTGAGGATCTTGAATTCGATCCTCTGGGGGATGGGGAGCCAGTGGAGGCGAGCGAGGGTGGGAGTGATGTGGTCCCGAAGCCTGATGTGGGACAGTACTCGAGCTGCAGAGTTCTGAATGACCTGCAGTGTGGAGGGAGGTGGCGGGAAGGCCGACGAGGAGAGAGTTCCCATAGTCCAGCCTTGAGGTGATAAAGGCGTGGACCAGAGTTTCAGCCGCGTGAGGGGTGAGGTAGTGCCGTAGTCTGGCGATGTTCCGGAGGTGATGGAAGGCGGTGCCAGTTGTGGCGCGGATATGGGGGAGAAAGGACAGCTCAGGGTCGAACAGAACACCGTGGTTCCTGATGGCTTTGAGAGGTGGAGAGTGCGGAGCTGATGCTGTCAGCGCCTGAGGTGCGGAGGCGCTGATGTGAGCCAATCAGGAGGGCCTCGGTTTTGCGCACGTTGAGCTGGACAAAGTTATCTCTCGTCCAGGACTCGATGTCGGACAGGCAGCTGTCAGGGCATCGGTGGTCGTGGAGTTGAGGGTAGAGGAGGAAAGGTAGAGTTGGGTGTCATCCGCATACATGTGGAAGTTAACCCCATGTCTGCGGATGATGTCACCACAGGGGGAGCGTATAGAGGGTGAAGAGGAGGGGACCGAGGACAGAGCCTTGAGGGACACCGCACGAGACAGTGCGGGGGCCGGAGGAAAAACCATTTGTGGAGACAAAGTGAAGACGGTGGGAGAGGTATGACCTAAACCACTCAAGGACAGGGCAAAAAAACGAATACATTGTCCATTTCAAAAGATACCCTAAGAATGGAGGCAATCTAAGCCCCCAGAAAAAAATCTAAATATATTTACATCTGCTATTTACAGTGATTCTTCCCAATGCTGTATGCACAATGTTACCATATGAAGATCTTATTTATATGATGATTTTATTTTTTGATGTGTTATCGACAACTCTTATAAAATGAAGATTGTTTCTATGGCATTTGTTTAGTGTAAAGACATCTGACCTTATTCCAATCTTAATTCTAGTAATAACACAATAACACAAGATTAACTGTACCGCTGTATTGTATTGACTTCCTGCTAAATTGAAGTGTTTGTTTTACAGATATTGATGAATGTGCTTCCTTGAATGTTTGTCCTAATGCTCTCTGTACAAATACTGAAGGCTCCTACATTTGTACCTCCTGCCCTCCTGGATATGGAGTATCAGAAGGCAGATGTGAAGGTATTTTTGAAAAGGCCTCAATTTTGTTCTTGTTCTCACAAACATAAGAAATCACAATGGAAATATGGATGAAGAATGTTCTTTGGCCCATTTGATCATATTATTCCAGAATATGCATCCTACCGTTCTTCAATTACCAGCTGTTACTTAAATAAATCCAGCAACCACCTTCTACCCTCTTCCCTAGAGACTTGTTCCAGCAGTAGATTACCTCTCTGTAAAGAAATGTTTCTTGGTGTCTGTCCTAAAATTGCCCTTGGCAAGGGGCATCCTCTGATCTCCCTCCCATCTGTCTTGAATTTGCTTGCAGCAATTCTGGTATTCTTTGTGAGTCTCATTATTGTTATTACACATTGTAAAATTTCAAAATAATGACTTGAAAAACAAAATAAAGATTTGTTTCTGAGGCACAAGTCTGATGCAAAGCTGACTGAGCTTGTGCCAAACCTAACTCTAACATTGCAGGAAAACGAACAGAACTCAGTATGCCCACAGAATGCCTTGATTGTCTTCTTGTCTTATGGAATCAATCATGTGCCTACTTCAACTCTTAAAGGAGTCTTTACAAATGTTCAGGGATGCAAACCACTACCACAAAGTCTCATCTGAAGGATGACACCTCCAACAATAGTGGCCTTCACCGTGGCCAGCGACTCACAGCGCTTAAGAGAAATGACTACTTTAATGCCATCAATGTGGCCTGTTACCAGGAGATTTTGATGTTTGCAACATGGTTTACAATCTCAAGGTTGTTACAGAACATGGTCAAAGGACTCAATGCAAACTAAATAAATAAAGAATAGTTTAATAAATGTAGCTAATTGAGATTATTATATTTGTCCTTTGTACTTTGTATAATTCATTGAATTTTGTGTTACAGATATTGATGAATGTGCTTCCCCAAATGTTTGTCCTAACGGAGTTTGTTCAAATACTGACGGATCCTACACCTGCTTGCCATGTGGCCCTGGATACAGAGTGTCTGAGGATAGACGCAGATGTGAAGGTATACATAAAGGGATCAAAATTGTTGTACTACTAAACACATTCTGTTTCTTGTTTAAGGAAAGTCATTAAAATGTTTTAGTAAATCCTCCCAAATTTGAATTGTTGTAGCTCCCAAACTCAGCTGAAAGGCCATTTTGAAGTCTGGTTTAGCGTGGATTACTTTTGTGCATTGATACTGTTCTTGTTTACCCTATTCATAGCTACTGGCCTAACTCAATCTCAGTTAGAGCACAATGAATATCCTGGAAAGGGTGATTTCTGCATTTGCAAATGGCAGTGTAGTCCTTGCTGAAATTTTGGTCGAACTAGGACTAAAACACATCTTTGTAGGTTAGAATACTTCTGTGCTGCTGGAACTCTGCTTTTCTTATGGTTTTCCAAAAATTTAAATGGGTGGAAATTTAATTATAATAGATGGTATTATTTCGTTTTTCCATTGGAATACATTAATAATTCAGTGATAGTCAGATGGTGATGGTGCAGACAAGCAGTCCACTTGTGTCCTGAACAACAGGAACAGCCTGCTTTGCAAACAGAGAAAACTATCTTACTTTAGCCAAGTTTAATCTCTTATTCGAGCAGTTGGATAAATAATTATATTCAAATCACAAGTTCTGACTTTGGCGATGGGGAAAAGAAGAATTAAAACGGAGTCTTGCTTGTCCTATATCTTAACAACAACAACAACTTGGATTTATATAGCGCCCTCCACACTGGACGGCATCTCAGAGCTTCACAGTAACGGATCCCGGGGCGGAGCCGGGGGGAGGGGGAGGAACCAGGGGAGGGGGGGGAGCTGGGACAAGGGGAGGAGCCAGGGGGATGGGGAGGAGCAGGGGGAGGGGCCAGGGGAGGGGGAGGAGCCGGGGCGGAGCCAGGGGCAGGGGGGGAGTCAGGGGGAGGGGAGGAGCCAGGGGAGGGGGAGGAGCCAGGGGTGGGTGGGAGGAAAGTGACCAAAGGTACGGTCGAAAAGAAAGGTCTTCAGCCGAGACCTGAAAGTAGGAAGAGAGGGGACGAGGGGAAGGGAGTGAGGAAGGGAGTTCCAGAGCCTCGGGGGGTATGAAGGCCGAGGGTGGAGCTCCTTCCCATAATTACAAGCTGTCAAGGTTTCTTCCTTGTTCCCTGTCATACACAGGAAACACATCAATCTGTTTGTTTACTCCAGTGCTATTACTTCAGCATTGTTCCATTACTGTTTTATGAAAATGTACAGTCATTTATTTAACAGTACAATGGAATCCTGCTATTCTCACTTTTCGCTTTCCAACCCCAAAATCATGTAGCAGTATCATTCATACCAGTATGATGTAGTTTAACACAAGGGGAGTTTTCAGTAAGCCATGTAAAATGGTGTTTGTTTGTTAAGGAACTACAGGGAAACCTGTAGTTGTGGAGTCCTGTAGCTCAGTGGTTAGAGCACTCGCTTTGCAAGTGAGAGACCTGAGTTCAATTCCAGGCAGAGGGCCAAACCTTGGGCAAGTTTCCTTACTCCACACAGAGCCTAATAATAATCCCTCCAAAACAAAATAATAATAAATTGGTCATTTTCAATCCATGACTGTTTGTGGGACATTGCTGTGCGCAATTGGCTGCCGCGTTCACCCACAAATATACAGTCAATTCACTTTACAGTGTGTTCTGTGAAGCGCTTTGGGACGTCGAGAAGGCGTGAAAAGGGGTTTATATCAAATGCAAGGATTATTATTATTATTAAACCTTGTAAATCTTATATCACAGTCACTTGGCTCCGGTGTCTCTGTGGCTGTTATAAATGAGTCATGGAAAAATGGCTGACTTCCAGATCACAGGCTGCTGCTGATCCGGGTTAGATTCCTGGGCAGGGCGACACATTGGGCAAGTTTCTTTACTCCACACTCGCCTCTGTTTACCAGCAATAAGTAGGAACCCGATTGTTAGTCAATTGGCAGATCACTTTTCCGCAGCTAATAATCCCTCCAAAAAAAAAATTGGTCACGCAATCCACAACTGTTTGCGGGACACTGCTGTGCACAATTTGCTGCCGCGTTTTGTCCACAAAATATACAGTCACTACACTTTACAGTATATTCTGTGAAGCGCTTTGAGACGTCTCAAAGACGTGATAGGGCGCTGTATCAAATGCAAAGATTATTATTATTATATAACTTCCTGCTCAGTGTGTACATGTAACCTAGGCACAGGAAGCACATATAATGTGACCTGAGCATTGCCTGCAGTGCCCAGGGATGTGGTGCTGACAGCACTTTGTGACATTAGCAGTGACCTGATAATCCAGAAGTCTTTTTTTTCCACGGGAGACCAGCTGCCAGTGTCAGTGTACCGTGACTCTGTTTAGGCCATGGCGGTGCAGTATATTGAAGGGTACTATAATGGGGGGTTCCTTGTATTGTAATTTTAGTTGTCATCTATTCAGGGAGAGCTGTGAATCTTTTATATTGAACAATTTATAAAATTACACTTAGGGCTGCAGATTTGGCACGGCATCTTTTGATAAAAAGTGAGAGTACTCATCACTCCTGTTAAAACCTTAAATATAGTCTTAATTTTGAAGCCTGATTTCTGTAAGTTCTTTCAAGAAACTGAATTTAATAATTTGCCAAATTCTGCATATGATGAAATGCTGTGTTAATAAAGTAAAAATGTTTGAAATGTAAATGATATGTACAAAAAACACTTGACCAGTCATTTTGTTTAGATTGTTCAAATTATAAAGAGTTAGTTATGAGTTAGTTATGTGATCAACGCCTTCACTGATAAAATGGACTAAATAGCATTGAAAGGACGAGATCAAACAAGCCAAAGTACCTTTCATCTGAACCTTGCTTGTGTAAAATAAATGCTGAGAAGTCAGCAAATACTATACATATTTAATGCAGTTGTAAATGTTAGAATTGGGAGAGCAACTACTTAATATCAAGGATTAGAGGAGGTGGTGGTGAAACAAATTGAAGCAAGATTCAGAAGCAGGAATCTCTTCCTAATACTTACAACATATGTAGGTTATCCTGTTTTTCTGATCAGCAAAGCTGGAAAGTTACTCATCCCAGCAAAGTTGGCAAGTAGAATTTTCTGTCACTTATTCTAATCTAACTGGTATGAAATTGCTCCTGTAGACGTCAATGAATGCTTGACCGAAGACATCTGTGGTTCAAACAGAGAATGTATGAATACTGATGGCTCTTATTTCTGCATTTGTGCCAAGGGCTACACCACCATTCCTGGTGGGACAGGCTGCCAAGGTAAGATATCCCAAGTGTAAATCTATTTAAGTATCATATAATTTAATACTTCCTGAGAAAGATTACATTTTGATTAGTTTGTTGAACAGATATTTTTCGGGTTCGGTTTAAGTCTAAATTCAGTTGCAAATTTCCTGCTGTGATGATGCCACAGTAAATTGGCTGTGAAGAAGATGTCACCTTTTCACATTCAAATATATTAATCATCAAGCTGCCTATCCTTCATTAAAATCTATGCTGTTATTGTAGTTCGTGAACATTGGGACAAATGTTTTCATTGATCATCTTTGGAGTAAATTGCTTTTCATTAGTGACAAGTTTATTCATTGCAATTGATGGTAATTAAAACTATACAAATGGAGTTAATAATTCAGGTAAATGAGTTGCTAATCTTGGATTTAATTTGGAGCAGACTCTAGGTGTTAGGAGGCCCCAAACTAGCTGTTATTACAAGTTTTAATTGCAAATGTCAATAAAACTGCTTCAAACCCAATCAACAAAACATCACTTACTTGTAAACAGGATAGTTTCACCCACAAAATACAGTCAATCCACTTTACAGTATATCCTCTGAAGCACTTTGAAATGTCTCAACGACATGATAAAGCGCTATATCATGTGTAAGAATTATTAATAACCATCTTTGGATTAGCTTCAAACTAATCAAGGAACAAACAGACAAGATGATTTTGAGTAAATATGACAATTAAGAAACAATGATCCTCAGGAGAAACGAATAGAACCATAGACATTTACAGCGCAGAAGAAAGCTATTCAACCCATCGTGTCTGAAGGAGAGTAAAAGAACATCCTGAACAAACAACTGGGACAGCTGCTATCAACTCCTGAATATGCCAGATAACAATCCAAAATTAAGTCAAATGCTTTAATGTTTGGAATAAAAACAGCAATGGATTAAACACTGAACAGGAAATGTTCAGATATTTTTAATGGAATTTAGCATATCTGGAATAGTTTTGGCACAAGGTGAAGCCAAGTGTTAAAATAGACCCTTGTGTGTTAAAACCTGGATTAAAGAGCAGTTTTGATCATTATGACCATTAAATTATGGGATACAAGTGTTTAGAGGGCAGACCAGATACTGGGGACTGGGATTCTTGCCTCCCAGCTCCTGTTATCCCTATAAACCAAAGCCCTACGGGTAACGTACCTAGCTGGAAAAGCAGTGGGAAAGCTTTCCAGACAGTGCTTTCAATGATGACTTATACGGTTTTAGCTGGTTAAACTCCAGCAGTATCCAAGTGCACACTCTGGGGTCCCCAATCCTTGCCTCTTGCCAACCTGCGCCTAATATTCTCTGAAAATAAATAAGCAGGATGCATCCTGTTGAGAAGAGAGTGTGCATTCCACTCCAAAACGCAGGAATTTTCATGTGTAAGTTTCATGCATGGAATGCTCAATTTGGTTTGGATACTCTTAATCATGGTGGTGGGTTTCAATTTATGTCAGACACCTGTCTGGCTTTAAAAAAATAGTCTCTACACTTTACACTTTCCTGTGAAAAACTTTGAGAAATTTAAATATTGTTAGAAATATCTGAAAACAAGAGTATAAAAAAGTATAGGAAAAAGCAAGAGAATGGACCAAATGGATAGCCTTTATAAAGAGCCGGCATAGGTACAGCGGGCTCAGTGACTTTTTTTGAACTGAAAAATTCTTACACTATGTGGAGTCCTGTAGCTCAGAGGTTAGAGCACTCGCCTCGCAAGCGAGAGACCTGGGTTTGATTCCCGGCAGGACAAAATGTTGTGAAATGTCCCTAGTCCACATGCCTCTGTTTGCCCGATTGTCAGTCAATTGGCGGGTAGCTTTTCCCGGGGTAATAATTTCTTAAAAAAAAAATTTTGTTATTTAATCCACGACTATTTGTGGGACTCTGCTGTTTGCAATTGGCTGCTGTGTTTTGCCCACAAATATACAGTCAATTCATTTTACAGTGTATTCTGTGAAGTGCTTTGAGAAGTCTAGAAGATGTGACAAAGCGCAATTGGCTGCCGCGTTCGCCCACAAATATAGTCAATTCACTTTACAGTCTACTCTGTGAAGCGCTTTGGGACGTCCTCCCGACGTGAAAAGCGCTATATCAAATGCAAGGATTATTATTATTATTATTATTAATGCGCTATAGCAAATGCAAGGATTATTATATTTATATCTTTTTTTACCCAAAGCTGAAGACTTGCACTACAGCAGAACAATACAGCAAATAGCCTAGTCCCAAAGTGACAGAAAAACCTCAAACTACACAAAATTGGAGTAAATTTTTAACACATCTATGTTATTGAAACTATAACTTTTACACTTGTGATCGCTCAGTCTCTGTAGATCTATTCTGATTGTGGGGTAAATCTGCTCATAGATATCAATGAATGCCTGACCAGTGACATCTGTGGTCCAAATGGAGAATGTATAAACAATGAAGATGGCTCCTATTACTGCCTTTGTGCTCAGGGCTACATCACCACTCCTAATGGGACTGGCTGCCAAGGTGAGACAATCCAGCTGTACATATACAGTATATAAAAGCATAAGCCAACAAAATATCAGCAGTCACTTTGGTATATAATGTGCTCTACGATTTATAAATCTAGGAGGGAAAAATAAAGTTTGTTCTTCTTGGCTATTGTGATGGTTCATTTAAAGAAACAGAATCTCTTCTACTTTAGACTACAGATGGACTCATGACTGTAAACAAACAGTATACGTTAGATCTTGGCCAGAAGTCTCAAACAGGGTACTACGGTTTGTTAAGATTCAGGCATTTTGGCATGAATAGAAATGACTTTGTTTGAATACTGAGTAAGGCACTTCTTGTTTTATGGAATGATGGGAGAGCCTACCTATGGTTACAGAGGGAGAGGAATGCTCCACATGAAATATTCAGTTCAGAACCACTTTTATCCTAGAAGTAACAAATCCCTCTTGAAGTATAAATTCTGCATGAAATTTATCCAAAGGATGAGCAAAAATACATGTAATGTTTGCATAGCTTCTTACCACAAACCTTGTAGAGGAAGTGCTTCTTGGTCAGATAGACATAATAATGGTTGTAGCACCATCTACAGTTTTAATAAAAGAATGACAGAGAGAAGAGGAATTCTACATAGTTACATCCATATTATTCATTTTGATTTCAGAGTGTTCTAAAAAACTATTTCATTGCAATAGGTAACAATAGTCAAAATATTGTGCTTTCAGACTAGGGATCAGAGTTTACAGTTTTGGCAAGAATTATTGTGAACCTTCATGTTTAATAAGTACACAGATAATCTTGTTTGAACAATTAAAGTCTAAATGAAAACAGCTTCATTGTTCTTTGATACTGGTCTGGTTGTGTTCCTGTTGTATAGACAATTTGCACTGTTAAAGGATTCTAACACTACTCAATACTGCGGAAACAATAATAGCTTAACTGTAAACTGCTCTATCTCACAGATTGGGATGAATGCACTGAAGATGCCAGGTGTGCAGGAGGTCAATGTCTAAACACAGATGGCTCTTATATGTGTAAATGTGAAACAGGTTTCACACATTTACCTGAAACAGAAGACTGTGTTGGTAAGAATCAATAAAATCTGATATTTTAGAATGGCTTATATTCCATTTTGAAGTAAAAATCAAGTTCTCTGAGTCCTACCCTGGGTGAGGGCGCTATATAGATGCAAGTTGTTGCTGATGGCTACTTTTCATAGCTTATATGTTTGAAAAGTCACTGGAAAGAAAAAATCTCTTGTTCACTTTTCCTGGAATGAAGAGTTTCACTCTTGTATATCAATAATATTTTACATGATTTTATATTACAGTCTAACAGATTACTTGAAAATCATATAATATCTTTGAAAACTAAAATGTTAACATTATTTGGTTTTGTTGTAAATTCTCTAGATTGGAATGGTTACACAATTGGCTGCCGCATTTTGCCCACAAATATACGGTCAATTCACTTTACAGTCTATTCTATGAAGCGCTTTGAGACGTCGAGAAGATGTGATAAGGCGCTATATAAACCGCAAGGATTATTATTATTATTATTATTAACAGAATGGTGTTACTTTTTGTTCTGCTTATATCTACTTAGATATTGATGAATGCAGCGTATATGGCAGTTCTGTATGTGGGATGTGGAAGTGTGAGAACACTATCGGTTCGTACCAGTGTATTATGGAGTGTCAGCCTGGCTTCCAGCACACATTTATGGGTGAATGCACAGGTGAGTTTTCTCTCTGAGCACAGGCTGGACAACTTGGATCTTTGTCAAGTTACAATGAAAGGCAATGATTCTGTATAACACTACTGTAATGGGACACTTTGCATATTACAGATAATTTAAACTGACTACGTGCCCCAGACATTTGGATGACTCAGACATTAAATTAAACCAAATAAATAATACAATATATCATCAGAATTGAACAGGCTATTTTAAAATACTCAAAATTATTGGAAAAGTAAAGTAAAGCTGGTGTGCAAGCTTAGCAATCAGTGTATATAATATAACCTTATTGTATAAAACTCTATAAAGTTACTTCCTTCATTTGAGATTATTGAGACTCATTGACCTCTAAGCAACCTGGCTGTGAATATTGTCCTGGTGACAACTACTTAAAAAACTAGGGCAACTGTCAAACATTATAGTTTCATTAAGGTTCGACAATCCAACAACAGATTATTAATCATCACTAGCAACAGAAAATATACTGTACCTTGTTTAATTTCCTGAGATATATTGCTCTAAATCGCTCCAAACTGAATTTGTCTGCCATCTATTATTTTGGGAGTGCCTGTGTTTAAATGTTTGATAGCAGTATTCAACATCTTCAAAACCGCATACTTTTGTGTAATTGAAGAATTCTTCACATGTGAAAACAGAATTTGTGTGAACAGTTGAAAATGTTGTAAAAATATAAACATTGTGAACAGATTTCAGTCATATTATAGCCATTTATGATAAGTGGGAGTCAGGTTGCAAACAGTTTGCAAAATTAAAAAAAAGTTTATTTGATATTTGTGTCATTGGTGTTATAGACACAATAATTACTGCAAAATCTAGTGATTGTGTATTTGTAAGGCAAATGTATAGTCCGTTTAACCACAATAAGGTAGGTCCTACAAACAGCCATGACAAATTTATCTAGAGGATTTGTGGCCAGGACACAGGGAGAATCTCCTCTTTTTCAATTGTGTAATGGAATCTTTAATATCCACCTGAATATGATGGGACTTTGGTTTAACATTTAAACTACACAACAACGCTTCTGACAATACGGCGCTCCCCTCAGTACTGAACTGGAATGTCTTTTTACACTATATGCACATTCCTAACAGAGCTTGAACCCACAATCAGAGGCAAGCATGACTTCACAATCGGACTTCACCAAGCTTTAATTATACAAAAGCAGGAACAATAAAGGCAAATGAGGTTATATGATGAATAAATAATATTTCAACCAAATTGAAATGATTCACGTGATCCTTAAAATAGAAACCAAATAATGGAAAGCATGACTAGTCTTTCATTGAGGCAACATCTTACATCTTTGGCAAGAGAATGTTTAGAATTCCTTAGGAAACAAAGTTGTCTTTCTCACTTTTGACATTTGAACAACCACATTAATGGGACTGTGAAGCAAATCTGACCAGTGTGCTCTCTATGGTAACAGTAATGTTTTGTTCCATCTTCGAGGAGGTAATTTATTCTTGAATAGGAACATTCCAGGGGAAAAAAAGCAAAATTAAACATTCATCAGAAATTACATTACATTCCTGTTTTTCAGTATTCCCTCTTGACTGTTCTGTGCTGTGAGCAAGGCTAACAGGCCCCAGTGCAGTGTATTAAGACATTTTAGGCACTGGATCAGTCACGTTATTTTGGGCTGGTAACCAGTTAAATTCTTACCAGTGTTCCATTGTTTCCCTGGGGGGTCAAATCTTTTGATTTGTTGTTAAAATCTCTCAGGTCCGAGCACTGGAAAGTATGATGTGCAACTCAGTGACTTCTGGCTTAACAAAGATGATAGACATTCTTTGATATAAGAACATTGTTGTGGTCCAGATAGTCTTGTATTCTGGCTTTGTTGCCTGCTATTAGAGACACTGATAGTTCTTGCTTAATCTTGAGTGACCTCAGAGCCACCGTGTGGAGGCAGATGAAACAAGTGGATTCTGTTGGTTTGCAGACATTGCTGTAGACATCAACAGAAAGCTGATACTGCAACAATTTAGTTCAACAAACATAAACATAACAAACAATGTAACAACAAACATAAATATATTTCCTTATTTTAATATTAATAGCATTTATTCATGGTGATAGTATTTCATTGGTAATTCTTGGATTGAAGGACGTTAAATGTGTTTTTTCTTCACATCATTTATGAACAACTAAAATGGGATTTTTCATTCTCTCTAGTAAACAATAATGTTTGCATTTTGATTTATAGCACTTTCCATGTCTTCTAGACATCTCAAAGAGCTTCATAGAATATATTGTAAAGTGAATTGACTGTATATTTGTGGGTGAAATGCAGCAGCCAATTGCTTGCGATATATGTACAGTGTAAATGGCCATTATGTGTTCTATAATTTCCAGAAAGTGGAAACTGTGACCCTAAAGCCGCTCCCATTGCTGCCATAAACAAATAAATAGCAAACTTTCAAAAGTGTCTAATGCTAATGAGAATGACCATGTTGCAGGCAGTGATGTAAAGCTCCAAATAAACAATTATGATGATTGGTGGAAACAATTCTCGGGTGGGAGACCACTAGGTTGTATTAGGAAGTTTTTAATGGTTATTTTCAGTTGTTGTGACTGGATAATATTATCAGCAGCTGCTGTTCATTAGGTTGATTAACATTTACCACTTAGTTAAATCCATTGCTTGAAGGTTAAGAATGTTGGTGATCCTAATTCACAGAGGCACAAACTTGAATTCCATTCCTACTGGTGACATTTGGTACTTGAGTGAGTGGTCAGTAATACGGACAAATCAGAGGAGCATCCTTGTCTCTCAGTGGAGAGCAATGGGTGGGTGAACAGGGTGAGCCTGGTCCTGTAGTGTAGCGGCCTTGAGAAAAGCTCTCTGTGCTGCACCCTAATGCCATTCTGCTTCTCTGGTCAGAGGAATGTGCGAGTGGCCGAATCCCAACCCGAGGCTTGTCTCATTTTGTATTTATTTACCTTCTGCAGCTTCATGTCCTTATTTCATGCATCATCCTTGGTTGAAATGAGGTACAGAGAGCTACTCCACTGTTTCAGTTATTGTTCATGAACCAGACTCTTGATATTCACTTCAAATGAAAATGTAAAAATATGCCACAGTTTAGCAGACAGCAATTAACCTGAGGCTGTGTAATGTGAAAGTGGGCAGCTCCCTTTGAATAACATTCTGTATTTCCATGCCATTTTCTGTATGTCATTCGTTGCTAATAAAAGAAGCATTGAAACAGTTACTTTAATGGGCAAATGCAGATGGCAGTCGGCATGAGATCATGTTGTTTAGCTGCCGATTTTAACCCAAGTAAGATATGAGCCTGTGTGTTCACCCATTATTGCCTCCTCATAGATTTCCAGTGGGTTAAGAAATCCTGACCTAAAACCAAAAAATACATTTAATTATATTTGTATATTAACATTATTAAAATATTATTTGCTTATTTCCTGCATCCCAAAATTGGAATTAATTGTGTTCTGTAATTAAATACTTACTATTCATACCGTTACTTTTCAGGACATCACAGTAGGACATATAAGTTGTTGATATATAGTAGTTCTCATTCACCTGGATTTTAAAACCTGTTTAATGTCATGGTTTTTAAAACTTTTTTAACAGTGTGAAATGTATAATGCATTGTTTTACATTAATGTGTACATTCCCACACACTAGGACCTCGCCTTAAATAGTAGGTTCTTGGCTAAGGCACAACTCTCGTTCTCAGGTTCTGATCTGTACATGTACTGTATGTGAGAAATGGGTTGTATCTAGCCTAAACATTCTAACAAATTAAAGTAAAAATTACAAACATAAGGGTCCAGAGGAACTCCAAAAGACATCCTTCACTTCTGAATGCTGCAATCCTGACAGAATAGTCGATGTTAGCAGTGAACCAAAAGCATTCATTACAGTTCTGCAGCTGCTATCAATTACTTTGAGGTGCAGTAAAATAGCTAATAGTTATATGCCCCTCTGGTAATTTACAATAACTGTCTTGAACTTTAATGATAGTTAAAATTATTTTCCTAAGGAAACCAGTGCATTAAAAGAATCCTAATGAGATATTCACTTTTGATGTTGTTGTATTTCTTTTCAGATTTATACTTTAAATAATTAACCACAGCTGTGATTTACTTTCAATAAGTGCTACAAAACAGTTCTGCATTTCAGTATTTTTGGGGATAAACTGCTTCACAATGAGAATTTGCCTCCATCCACTATAAACTTTCGTAGTGGGAACCAACCCACCAATCAGATTTAAGTTGTCTGTATGTTTTTCATATTTAAACTGTATATTTTTGATAATCTTCATGATCCGCTGCACAATGTCCTGCCACATAATTACCATTATTTTATTCTATTTAATACTTGCCTTTTTATAAATACTGTGGAGTGGCAGTCTAGGAGATACTAAGCTGATTGTTATTGCTATTTGTTACTTCACTGCACCTCATTGTCTATTCCCATGTCTTATATTATTCAATCCATCACTAAATTATTTTTAATATTTGTTTTTATTCCAGATATTAATGAGTGTATGAATGAGACCATTTGTAGTGTCCATGAGTATTGTGAAAACACAGTTGGCTCCTTCCGCTGTGTCTGTGATCGGGGTTTTCAAAAGCCACCTGGAGAGCAGAGGTGTGTGGGTAAGTAGTAATTGGTAGCTTTCATGCCAAACATTATTGAAAAAATATTTTCAGTGTTCAAAAGCTCTCTTGCATGCTGAACACAACCGATGGGGAAATGCGAGAAGATTCCTGTTTGCAAAATTGATCTCATAGATTTATGCAGCTACTCAAGATTCATGATCATTGTTGCATTTAATTATTTTAATAATAATAATCCTTGCATTTGATGTAGAGCCTTATCATGTCTTCAAGACTTCTCAAAGCGCTTCACAGAATATACTCTAAAATGAATTGACTATATTTTTAGGCAAAAATGGTCCTTTTTAACACTTTGAGCATTAGAGATGAATACTATTTTTCTCAGTCTAGTTCAAAAGTATCTATGCAGAATGTTGCAGTCACTACACAAGATAGTAATTACTTGTGAAGTGCTTTGAGATATGTTAATGGAGTAAGGCTATACAAATGTAATTTCATTTCTTTAACCTTCCCCCACAGATTGTGCGTGGGCTGAAATTGGTGCTAAACTAGGTTTTGAAATAGTCTGTAGATGTAGTGAACTGAATCCATATTACTTAATCCACTATTACATGTTCTAACTAACTGAGTGATGCAAATATGTTGTATGCTAATTATAGGATACATGATACATTTTAAATCTCATGCCCTGAGCTGTTCTGAGTAGACTGCAAAATTATTAGTGACCTAGTTACCATCTAAGTTAATTATAAATTTAATTTTAATTTAAATGTAATTACATTTGCTACTTTGGCAATTCCTGGAATAAATCATACTTCTGTCAATTACTCCCAACATTCATCAGTGCTCCTAAAATATAATAATTTTGCATTTGATGTAGCATCCATACTGTCAAAACACTTGAAAGTGCTTCACCGGTAATTGCTATCAAGTGTATGGGACTGTATATTTGTAAGCAAAAATAGCAGCATTTTTCTCACAACAAGATCCCATTGAATATCCAATGAATCTGGAGGAATGTTGGCCAGTGTACTGGGAGAAATTCCCTTCTTTTTTGAATAGTGTCATGGGATCTGTGAATGTCCATCTGAACAGGCTGACAATATGATCTCACGCTGATGATTAACTGCCAGGAGATGAATGTCAAGTGAAACAAGATGAATATTCATTCCTATTATTTACGTCATCGTAAGATAAAATGTGCTATTTGAAAACTGTATGTGTTATGTTAATTCAAACTTCTGTTTATCAAAAACCTGAAAGCAGAATGTCAGCTGTGGTTCTGGTATTGATCACAGACTGCATTTTGCTGTAGAGCCTTATTGGGATTTACTGCTACTAATAATAATATTCCTTGCATTTGATGTAGTGCCTTGTCACGTTGTCGAGACGACTGAATGTCAATGTGGGGTTTTAATGTCAAAATTATGAATTGCATACCATGAGCTGCACTTACCCAGTGCATCTGGTTTGCGAGTAATGTATTTTACACTAAATTGTCCAAAGATAAGGAGTGAGTTATTTTGTTGTGCAGTTGAACCAGATAGTTTATGAAACTCATTCTCAGCTGCATTTGGCAGGTTTGAGTGACTTCAGGGCCTGACAATCCAAACGATGACCACCTGGCTGGGAGGCAGGCCTTTGCTGCTGTTGACAACAACAACAAGAACAAATTACATTTGTGCAAGTCATTATAGCAATAATACTTTGAATATATTTTGATTTCCTACAGCTGTCTAAGACAGGGTTATTTTATTTTTTACCTAAAGAATGCAGTGATCCTTGATTTCACCCTGTGGAGAAACGTTCAAACAACCATGCATTTTCCACCAGCATCATTTAAGTCCTTCACTGTGAGGTTAATGTCAATGGGATATGTTATGATTGTTGTCCGTGTCAGTTGCAGACAGGTACCCACCATTGCAATGATGAGTATTTTAAGGCTTCACTAACAAGCAAATCCAATTAAGAATTACTTTCCTACAGTAAGAGAAGTTGTTACACAAACAAGTGGGAGCGACACAATATATTTGTGCTGTGTTATTGAAAGACTGGCTTTCCAATATACGAAAACATATGTACACTTCTATATTACTAATGGACTTAAAACACTGATCTATATTTTCTTTTATAGAGGTACCTTGTTATAAAGACATTGTTCAATCTTTCCAGCTACAGAAAACCTATATATTATTGGAACTTATAATACTATTTCAGGCTTAAAGGTTTAAAATTGCCAAAAAGAAAGTTTTTTTTAGATATAAAAGTTAATTTGGAATAGCAAGGAAATAGGAATATTAGAATATTATACAGTGAAAGGTCTTTGCAAGGCCTTATAATAGTTATCTGTACGTCAACCATCTGCGAGTCCACGTATCCTCATTGAGCTTCAATGTGGAAGTGGATGCAGGACTGGGAGATGGTTGTGCATGTAGTTTTGTACATGTGTGAGATTGTGATATTTGTGCAAGTCATTATAGCATTTGTGATATAGCCACACAGCACGAGTAAATCACGCCCCTAGTAACTTTAGATGCATATGTGCAAATTTGTTCATTGAAACAACTATATATATTTTTTCAGGTACTTTTGTACATTGAACGGCGCTTTAGAAATATTATTTTGTATTGTGTACAGTGCAGGGTTAAAGAAAGAGGTAGAGAAAGTCATAGAGAAACAAGACGATTTATTTAAAGGCAGATTAAATATTCAAATTTGCAGCAGATGATTATATACCATTGAATGGAATCCAGCTGCCCTTTGCAATAAAGCGCACTTTATTGTTCTGCTCTTCAGTTATACCCAGAAATCTATAAAATATGTTGAATCAATTATGTACTTAAAGAGGAAGAAAACTGTTTTAATATGTTCTCTTTCGCAGACATTAATGAATGCGAGATGATGAATCGAGTTTGTGGAGCAGCGCTGTGTGAGAACTTTGAAGGTTCCTTCTTCTGTGTGTGTAGAGATGAGAATGAAGAATTTGATCCATTTACCAGCCAGTGCCTTACCCCATCAAGGCCATGTAAGTTCAGCTGCACGCTGCAGTAATAATAGTTTGATTGCCAAATTGACAATGATTAGCAGAGTCTACATGATGAATTTTAATAATGATTTTGGCTTCAGAGCAGTGGTCAATAACATATGTCCACCTGGTGGACCTTTAGACGTCAAGTCCTTTACTCTAGGGATTTGACAGCTAGAGTAATATACAGACCAAATGATATTACAATTAGCTCCCATGATAAAGTGCAAATGTCTGTACCTTTGAATGTGAACTTTCTATCCAGAATGGTCCAAGCCATTTTATTTCTGCTACCAAGGGACCTAGTTGATTGCATTCTAATGGGATAGTCCTGAACCAGCAGATAAGATAGATGAACTTTAGGAAGAACCTACTGGCCTACCCTTGTCTAGTTCAATAGATGTGAATTTCCATTTTTAACCCTATAATTTTATTGCCCTGGTAAAATATCAATGTAACTAAACCACTGTTTCATTTTGCATTATTTTGGTGAATGTTTTCATCAAGAATAGGGTTGGTGATCCTGGGAAACAAATGCTTTTATCTTCCCTCAGCACTCAAAGCGAGCATTTGCTATCCCTATGTCCTGCACCTTTGCAACACCTTTGGTATTTTTATATCAACATGATAAGCTACCTAGCTTCTGTAATGTATTTTCAAAGCTGCAAAGAACACTCAGAAATTACCTATTTTCTGGAAGATTTTAAGTTTGCAATGTTATATCTATATCACTCAGTATTTTAAAGACCTGGATCGTGCTTCTCCCACTCATTATTAATTTAATAAAATTCCTAATGAAAACAAGTTCAACTCTTCTTGTCTCTCCTTGGGACTTACAACCCAAAATCCAGTATTATTCATGATGTTCTTCTCTTAACGCTGTCGAGTGCATCAGTGTCCTTTTGAAGATACGGTGTTCAAAGTCTGAAACAATAATGAAAATATGGAATGTATCTTATCAATTAACAAATATGCTGTTTTTTGTTATATCGACAGTATCGCTTGTATTAGCCATAAGACACACTTTGACCAAGTTTTGTTATCACAAACAGACTCAAGGCAATGCCCTTGATTGTTTTTTGTTTGTCAATGTAATGTTGCTCTCAGCAAAATGAGTGCTTTGACATTACTGATGAAGCAATACAAATATTTTATTTTGTGATGTTACATTATCATGAACAAAAGCTTTTTCATTTACACAATACTTCTCTGAACGGTCACTTGGGAAACTGGAATGAGCAATGAGAGAACGAATTGCTAATATGAGGTTTATGATCGAATAACCCAATTCTTCAAATGTAAACACACATTTGTGCAGCTGATTCCACTGCCTCCTAACTCAAAATTCAATAAAGATGGAATATATACAGAGGACTTGCATGTATCAATATCTGTTTACCTCAAAGACTGGCTGCTGCACAGGTTTACTGTCAGATCACTATGATCCTCTGTAAAGTGTCCAGCCAAAGTGAATAGGTGCACTTAGCATTGATGCAGTAACCATGCATGTTTATTTCTAATGCTGATTAACTTGTAGGGTTTGTATTTTTCTCTGTGCAAAATAGATCAAACAAGAGAGGAAACAGGAACAGTAATCTCAATTAATCCAGATATTCCCATGAGGACAGTCCCTGTGAATAGGGACAGGAAGGATTGCTATTACAATCTGAATGATGCCAACTTCTGTGATAATGTGCTAGCACAAAACATCACAAAAGAGGAGTGCTGCTGCACCGTTGGAGCTGGCTGGGGCGACAACTGTGAGGTTCACCCTTGTCCTGTGATCGATACAGGTAAAGCTTTACCCAATGTGCCGTTTGATGGGAGGAATTATACAAGATGAGATGAGACAGTTGCTAGGTAATGTGCAAAAAGGCCTGGTGAAGACCAATGGTGTGATATTACTCCTTTCTCGGCCACTCACCCAGCAGAATGATGTTGGAAATCATTCACACGAGGTGATTGTGTGTGTTGACATTCCAGTGAGTTGCACTGCAATATCAACCAATGCACCTTGTACGCTTGATTAGTGCACATTATTTATCACTCCTGGTAATGACAAAGCCAACAAAAACACACCCTATAGTGTAGTACCCTACTTCCTCTCTTTGTATGGTCAAAGGCATACATGTAAAGGGAGCAGTCAAATGCACTATTGAACTTTAAAGCTCATAAGAAAAAATATTTATTTGCAAAGGAAAGAGTAACGCCTTTCATTTTTACAATATTTTTTATCTTTCTGTTTGAGACCTTAGAGTTCAACAAAAATACCTGCAATAAAGCTTTATGTTGAAGAATGTTAATAATCAGGCTTTATCCACAGGGAAACTGGAATTGGAAGATTAAAATATTTTATTATTTACATTGAACAGTTGAACAGATGTGTGATTTCTGAAAGCCGTAGGAGTTTATAGAGTTAAGAATGTTGGGTTTTATTATTGGACAAAAGATACAGTTGGACATTACAATATTTATGTCATACAGTTAATGATATTTTGACAGAAGCAAAGTCAAGCATAAGGCTTAAACAAGGCTCTGTGTGTCAGCACACTGTGTGTCAGAGTTCGAAGTCTGCACACTTGATCATTCATTTGAATTGTTTAGCAAATAGAAGAGCATCTGTGAGTCTGTTCTGGAGGGCTGGAGGGAAATGTTGTCTTGAGACAAGATTGTATTCTTCTCATAATTCTTCTTCTCCAAAAATCATTAATATTTGTTCCCATTGTTTTTTCTTTAGATGAATATGAAGAGATTTGTCCTGATGGCAAAGGAATTATTCCTTTTAGGAACTATGAAGGCGAGTCTTAAAACAGCACATATAGATACATTGATGAGGTGTAACTGCTCTTTATATATATAGTAAAATATATGCACATCCAGGGTTGGAGGGTTGGTATTGGACAATAGAACACTTTCATACAATCAGTAAGCAATCCCAGGTCAGACATATGGCCTGAGGTAGAGTGTTCTGGCCAACAACATACATCATTCATTTCATGGCTGTTTATGGAACATTCTGTATGCCACATTCATCTACAAATACACAATATTTACACTTTACTGTACAATCCCGTGAAGTGCTTTGAGACATTTTGATGCTGTGATAAGGCATTATATCAAATGCAAGGATTATTATTAATCTACTACTATAATCTGTTGAAGTTTCCAAACTCAGATGAGCAAACCACAAAAGTATGGAGAAAAGGCATGTAAAAAGAAAACTACAGAGGGAAAAAGGGTGAATGGGACTGAAAGGTTGTTCTTTAAAAGAACCATCACAGACACGATGGGTCAAATGACTGTCTTCAGTGATGGACTTCTACTGTGTACCTGGTATACACACAGTCACCGAACTTTACACTAAATCCTGTGAGGTGCTTTGAGATGCTCTTCCACCATGAAAGGAGCTACAACTAATGCAAGGATTAGTATTGTCAGTGCGTGAATGCCTCAGCATTATGAGGTGATTCTAGGCAAGCTTTATTTTCCTGAACTATAAACTGGGGATTAGGTTTTTGCCAACCACTAGTGTCTGTAAAGGAGTGTCTTTTTCCCCCCTTTTAGATGCAGACGAATGTGCAATGTTTGGATCAGAAATCTGCAAGAATGGGCGCTGTGTAAACACTGTACGCCACTATGCCTGCTATTGTCACACAGGATTTCACTATGACACAGTGAGACTGGAATGCATTGGTAAGTTTGAGATCTTGGTATAGTTATTTTTACGTGGGTTCTGTAGCTCAGTGTTTAGATCCCTCACCTCGCAAGCGAGTTGATCTGGGTTTGATTCCCGGGCAGGGCAAAACCTTAGGCAAGTTTCCTTACTCCACTCGCCTCTGTTTATCAGCAGTCAGTAGGAACCTTGTCAGTTAATTGGCAGATCTGGGGTAATAATCCTTTTCAAATAAAAAAAATAATTTTGTCATTCAATTCACAACTGTTTGTGGGACACTGCTGGGGGCAATTGGCTGCCTAGTTTCACCCACAAAATATATACAGTCAATTCAGTTTACAGTATACTTTGTGAGGTGCTTTGAGAAGTCTCGAAAATCTGATTAGGCACTATATCAAATGCAAGGATTATTATACATTTTTTTATCCAAAAATATGTATATTTAAAACTGTACATGCCCATGTTTGTATTTTAGACTAAAAATACAATAGTTGTCTTTTATAAACCTCCCTTTAGTACAACGTTCCGATTTAACGCTGAGCATGGCTTCCTTACCAATGTGAGACCTCTTTCCAATGGCCAGTCTACTCTGTATTAGAATATATATGCATCATTCACAGAAAGCAGAGCTTTTCAAAATCCATCTGCTGCTGAGACTATAATATAATTTTATTGCTTTAAATATAACAAACCAAATGCCTAACTCATTGAACTAATTTAACCCAAATACTTTACACTACTGCTATTCTTTTTTCTTCTTAGAAATGTATAGAACCAGAAAAGATTAGTCTGGTCCACTGGTAGGTCCAAAATATAGTCTAATTGTCTTAGCCTGAGTCCCCGCCTTGCTGTCCTGGCTGGCCTTCAGTGGCCAGGGATCTCGCTAGCTTATTCGCTATCTTCTGCCCACGGGGTTCAAACAGCTACAAGGCCTTTACTAGCATGTTTCAGCACTGAACAAAGCCAGTGCCAAAAAAGCCGCTAAATGCCAGTATGGACATTGTAATTACACTTAGCTGGAAATTACAGATCCCTGGTCTGGATTCTGGATACCACTTTATATTCACTCTCAAAGTAAAGTAATTAAATCTAAACTGTCTGTTCATCTTCCCTTTTCTGAGTTTGAGTCAGTTCCACTTTATTGTACAGCTCGCGACCATAACCAAGCCATTGTCAATAGGTATAAAGATAATCAGTCTTTGTCAAAATGCCCTATTTTTCATTCCACGGGATTCAGCGCGTGGCTGTTACACTCAGTATGGTTATACAATAGGAGATTGTGGTTACAGCTCCTTGAGCCAAGCATAGAGCAGTTCTTTGTTAAAGGCGTGAGCAATGCTTCCCTCTGCACTGGGCACTTACAGATTTTAATGGGAGAAACAAAAATTTCCATCTTGGCTTGTGGATGTTGATTACCTCGCGAACAAGAATCCTATTATTTTAGCCATGCTGTTTACTATGATGAAATAAATTAATATCAATCATCTAAACAGAAAGTGTTATTTGAAGGAGCAGAGGAATTTTCTTTGCTCAAAGTACTCTTGTCTTCCATAAAATGTTATGTTACCTCCCTCCAACCTCAACAAATCCTCACGCAACCCATCCATGCTCTCCAGCTATCAACCCATCTCCTACCTGCCTGTCCTCTCCAAGGTGCCTCATAGCTTCACTCCTTCTTCTCCCACAACTCTTTGAGCACTTCTAATCTGATTTTTCACTCTGCCTATATCATCAATACTTCTTTGGTCAAAATCACCCACCAACACAAGGTTGGGCTCCCAGTCAGCTATGTGAGAAACTTTTAGACGTTCCCCCAGACATGAAAAGCATTTTATAAATATAAATTGTTACTTGTTTCAAAGGAAACATTATATGGGACCCACGTCCTGCATTCAAAGTCTGTTCCAGTGAGAGACCTACACAGTCCTGACCTTCATTGTGTTGAGCAATGTGAGCTGCTCCAGTCACTAACAAACCATGGCGCTGGCTGCTGGGTGTTCCTGCATGTAACTGCTCCTGATACTTCCTGGGATCAGAATGTTCAGCAGCAGCTTGGAGATCAGTCTGAATATCCTATCTATTTCCTATTGATACTAAAAATGCAGTTATTCCAATACACAGTACCTCCCATGAGTAGTCTATCTCTGGAACAACTTGGACTTGTAGGAGGCGGCTTACAAGTACAGTTAAAAAATGAATTTCTCGCCTCAGATAAAATTGATCTTTTTTTGTTTCTTAAACAGGAAGATTTATTTAAAGAGAAAGCAATCATCTTAGCCTTTAGTTCTCCTTTCAGAAACCTAACTATAATTCTTTAAGTATTCATGACCTTGATTTCAAGGTTTCTTTTTGCATACTGTAAGATAGAAATGTTTGTTAGTAGAATTTAGTAGGATGGTAGGTTTTCAGTACAAATTACAGACTGATGAAAGAACAAAATAATGTAAAATGGAGGCTAATGTTGTTGGATAAATGTAAAGGAACAATATTTGTTCTTCATGCTGTTTAACTTTATTCCTTCAGACAATGACGAATGTCAAGATGAAAATACCTGTGTAAATGGAGAATGTGTCAACACACCAGGATCGTTTAACTGTTTCTGCAGCCCACCACTTATCCTGGATATAACCCGTAAAAAATGTATAAATGGCACAGGTTTAGCAGGTAAATAGATCTTGTTTCATAGGTAAATGGGTAAATATTTTCAAACTTCTAGATACTTGGATAAAGAGGAGAATCACCTTTGTCTTCAGTTTTCGTCTCTGTTCTCCTGTATGTATTGACTTATGCTGGGACATAGCGATATTAAACCTGCAGCTCTCAAGTTCCTCTCGTGTAATCCCAGACAGTGTCAGCAGGACATTACCCATGAATATTATCACAGTTCAGCTCAGTCTACACATATTGGCTTTCCAGCAGTGTTCACTAAGCAGGTTGTGATAAGGAGCTGGAATTCTGGCTGAGTTTTCTCTTCCCTCGTGCAAGTACTAAGGACAATTATAATGTTGCTGATCCTTTCAGATTACAGCAAATTGATTTCTGGTCTGCACTGCATTTGTGCTGTAGGGCATTGCTTAGAGAACTCACCTCGCAGTTCCCAGGCAGGAGCATGAATATTTAGTCTTACAATTTAATATCATGATCCTTGGATGCTTTGAGGATACCCTAATTTTATTCATTTTTTCCATCAGTTGACCTGTTTGAAGAGAGAAATGTCCATCAGGGTATCTGCTGGCAGGAGGTGGGTGAGAGATTCATCTGCAACCGACCACTAATGAGTAGACAGACAACTTACACTGAATGCTGCTGCTTGTATGGAGAAGCCTGGGGCCTCGAGTGTGCTTTCTGTCCCTCCAGAACATCAGGTAAAGCATTTATCCATGTAGTCTCTAAATATATACTGTGCCTCAGCCAGGACAAAGAGATGAATAACTGAACTTTCATGTTATTGATATCAAGTGAGCAGTAAATGTAAAGCAGGAATCACTAAATTGAAACATTTCGCAGATGCACTATTGATCAATCATACTACACTGGGACATCTTAATGGAGGCTAAGGAAAATTGGCGAGTGAGCATATCCAGCAACAACTTGCATATCTAATGAGATTGTAACATTAGGGAGCAGAGGGTTAATGCTCAATTATTGACTTTGTATGTTTTACAGACGATTTTGCACAGCTGTGTAACATTCCTAGGTCACCTGGGGATGGGTCAACAGGACTGCGTGAAAGACCAGGCTACGAATATAGCCCAGAAGGGCCAGAAGGACCACAGTATGGTCAAGAAATCCAGCAAGGAGCAGGGACTTATTACAATTACCTTCAGCCTGAATACGGACCCTACGATGCTCAACGTGGGCCAGAATATGAACTAGGAGATCCCTATCTTGGAGCAGGATATGGAATCCAAAATCCCCGGCCTGATTCAGGATATGGATCGAGAGAAGTCCATACTGATCCACAATATGAACTGCGAGAGCCCCAGCCTGGACTAGCGTACGAACCAAGAGAAACACAGCCTAGACCTGCGTATGATCCAAGAGGATTTTCACGTGTTGCACAATATCGCCCCCGAGAGACTGAGAGCATCGTTGCTTTTAGCAGTAGTGATATAAGTAAGTAGTACTTTATTTACTGTAGCTTTGGAAAGGGGGGCAGCCAGGCAGTGTGGCTGCAGGAGTTTGGTGAGGTTGAAGATAAGAAATCCCAAACGGATCGAAAATGAAGATTTAAAAAATGAAGAACAATTCGATTTTAACGGGTACCAAAAATCATAATCTCTCCTAAAGGCACTGATTTATAACAAAAACAACTTGGATTTATATAGCGCTTCACAGTAACGGATGCCGGGGGCCAAGCCAGGCATGGTCGAAAAGAAAGGTCTTCAGCAGAGACCTGAAAATAGGAAGAGAGGGGGCGAGGCAAAGGGAGTGAGGAAGGGAGTTCCAGAGCCTCGGGGCGTAGTGGCTGAAGGTACGGCCGCCGAGGGTGGATCGGAGGACTCAGGGGACAAGGAGGAGGCCAGACCCGAGGAATGAATTCAATGGGCACTGTTTTGAGGAGAGAGGAAGTCAGAGAGGTAGAGGGGTGCAGAGGAGTGCAGGGATTTGAAGACAAGGGTTATACTCAAGGATAATTCCACAGCCAACAGCGGCTCCAAGACTTCTCCCATGTGTGAGGTCGGGGTAATGTATAAACAGTGGTGGATGCCTAGAGTCAGAACAGTCAGAAAGCACCTCCCTTTACACACAGTCATTCTCCGTTAGCAATGTAACTGATGTAATACACAGTCTGTACCACTAGATGTCCCTCTTATGCATTTAGTCTCTGTTACTCAGATGTTGGCAGCATTGACTGAGAAAACAATTTGTTCCATTGAATATGAGATTTTGGTTATTCCAAAATTTCTGATAATGAAGTGCGACATATTTACAGAGTCATCACACTTGGAGACTGGAGATGACAGGACTTTGAGACATTTTGCTGTTCTCGGCACTAAATCAAGAACAAGGATTATTTACTTTTTACCAATATTGATTGCAGTTGAGGATGTAGGCTGCTAAACTAAGGATTATAAATGTGTTATGATGGGCAGAACTGAAGCCTGACAACATTTACATTCATGAACATGTACACATCTCTAGTCCTTTCATTTATAATAATCCTCGTCTCACAGGATTTTACTGGGGAGTGTAGTGACTGGGTATTTGTAGGCGAATGTGGCAGCCCAATTGCGCAAAGCTGTGTCCCGCAAACAGCCATGGAGGGAGTGATCAATTTTATTTGGGGGATTGTTAGCCAACCGGGAATTCTGGTGAACAAAACAATGTGCAAAAAACACAGCAAAGTTAGATGCAGAGCATTTCACAGGTAAGAAGAAACAGCAGTGCACAAGCAGGTAAGATAGAAATTGATGAGTCGGTCAGAAGGTGAAGGACTCGATTGAAGTGACAATAAAGGGTGACATATCCTTAAACAGGTCAGAGAAGGGAGGGGAGTAATCAGGACAGCAAAGAGGTTATTCACATAGCATGAATAGTAAGTGTTGAATGCATATCATTGCTAATGCTTTTTCATATCCACTAATCCTTGTATGAGTTATGGTTCAGCAACCACAAGCACTGTGGGAAAGGTACAGCTGAACCCAGCATTGGGGACGGGGTCTAGAGTGTTGTCCAGTGGGAGTTAAAGAGTGAGTCACAAGATGCTATTTTCTAATCTGATTAGGAAGAATTTTTCAGTTGAATGTATTGTATCATTCAGTACTTTTCATTCTTTTTCCAGATCGCTATGATAGTTTTGAAGGCTTACAAGCAGAAGAATGTGGAATCCTAAATGGCTGTGAAAACGGCCGATGTGTTCGAGTGCGTGAAGGGTATACCTGTGATTGTTTTGATGGATATAAATTTGATGTGGCTAAAATGGCCTGTGCAGGTGAGTGAACTTTTAAATGTATCTAGTCTTTTTTCTCGCCTTGACATCTCATTGCTACCTATGACCTGTGATCACCGCATGTTCTCCTTCAGCTGGTAGAGTGGGATAGTGACAGCAAACCGCTTTAGGAGAAAACATTTATTTACCTATTCAGGCCGGGAAACTGTAGATGACAATCAAGACTGGAATATTCAAACTTACACCTTCTCAGATGGTGAATGTTCTAACATGAGAAGGTTCTCGTGTTAGAACTTGGTCAAGATTATAAAGAGAGGAGATCATAGTTCTCTCGGTTTTATAAACGCAAGTTGTTGATTTTACATCTCGCTGCTCCACGCGGCCTGAATTATTTATCAATAGGAATACAACACAGTAAAACCAATGGCCGAATATTCCCTATAGGTACTATTTAACTGTAGCTGTTTATCCAAAAGCATTTACAGTGTTACTCCTCTTTGCTGCCTTTCAGATATCAATGAATGTGAAGATGTAAGTGACACAATACCACTCTGCAGAAACGCAAAGTGTGAGAACACAGAGGGGTCATATAATTGCAACTGTTTACCAGGCTACGTGCTATCCCAGGACCTTAATGACTGTAAACTGAAAACAGAAGCAGAACCTCAGTAGAAATCTGAACACTCTTGCCTGGGAGGAATGAGCAAACACTTGGTCATATTTTTTTAAAAAAGGAAACAAATGTTTATTTTACTTGGGATTTCTCAGCTTTGTTATGTATGTGACACACTGTGACGTACTAGGACTCTACAAATCACCATCTATACCTGCAATTTATGTCTACTGATTTTTTAAAAATATGCTTGATAGAATACATTTTGAAGACAAATACAGAGGCAATACAAAGTAAGTACCTTACAAATGATTTAGATTTTAAAGCTCTTCGGAGGATGTTGTGTTGAAGACATTCTCAATGACTTTGGAATGATTGACACCATGTAGCGTTCGAATCAGATTCTTAATCTGCTCAAACAAAAGATTTTCTAAAAAAACTTTAAAAAATTGCTTGCTGCATATTGTTATGAAGTGTTTGTTCTTTTAAACAAAAAGAAGTAATAATAAATTCTGGCAAAGCCAGATAGTGGCTGTTTTTGAGCGGAAGTGCTCACATGGAGTCCGAATTCATATTTTTAAATAAAATATTCCCTGTTTAAAAGAGTAATTGTGATTTGCTACCCTTGCTACACCTAGGATTTCATAAGGAAGCTAGTTAGATACCAATCGCTGTGTAGTGGATTATCATTTTTGCTCACTCTGCATAGTGAATACTCTTTAATATTGTATTCACAAAACAAGATACTCACTTCAAATGGCAGGGACTCTCAGCACTGTTTTAAACCTTTGTGCAATATCAGTAATTGGGTAGCATGACATCAAACCAACAGTTATCAGAATGTTTCCATTGTATCTGACTTATTTATTCTGATTTTCTTTTCTAGAGGGATCAAGAGATTGGGGATAAGGCGGGCAGATGGAGTTAGGTTAGAAGATCAGCCATGATCTTATTGAATGGCAGGGCAGGCTCGAGGGGCTGAATGGCCTACTCCTGCTCCTAATTCCTATGTTCCTATGATATAGTGCAATTCATTTATTGCCACTTTCTGCTCAATAATCTTTGTTTCACCAAAATACTAAAATTCGAATAGAATTGCTTTTACTATCTATCCTTTTAACAAAAAGCATTTAATTTTTATTGTGTTCTTAGAACTATCATTTTTTGGGGGTCAACATGGAAACTTGCCACATTTAAGTCCTCTAGTTTCATCTCCTGTACGAAGACTCACAGAACTAGTTTCTGTTCCCTAATTCTGAGGTGCGCAATCTCTGTCATACACCCCCTCCACATGTCTGCTGAATTTAACTTCTAAAGCTGTCCATCTTATCAGAGCACCAGTAAGGCATAATAAGTAAGCTTCCCCAGTGAAGACCGTTTTATCTATTGCGGCATTGGCTTGCTGATTTACATTATAAACGGCTGAAACCTTGATCCTCTCAGTGATGTACAATATATGTTCACAGCTCCCTCCAAATAGCAGAGAATCAAAACATTTCCACAGATTTCAATAGTGATTAGTGCAAAATGTATTTTACTTATAATTTAGTGATCTAGTTGCCTGGTTTTGTTCATTCACAAGGTTGACCAATGTTACAGGATGACAGCTCTGTTAATGTGCTGTAGTATTTCTAATAATGGTTTTGAGTAGGAGAATGGAGCAGAATTAAAAAGCCCAATCACTGTAGGAGCTAACAAGAGGAACCATTCCTGTAACATCAAACAAGTACAGTAGATTATTGGTTTACGCATTTACCAATTCATGCTAATCACATCTAGATCAGTATGGTATCAAACCAACTGTAAAAATCAAAGTACATTGTTGTAATAGACTTGATTAAGCATTTCACTTTAGTCATTACATCTGAAAACATAAAATAATAATAATCCTTACATTTCATATAGTGCCTTTCATTCCAAGAGGGCAATATCATAATAGTCTGGATACCGTTATAAATTTGTATGAATTTGCAAAGACAGAATTTTCTGAATATTAAATCTGACTTCCTTATTCCACTAATATGTAATTTCTGTAAGTGAAATGTTACAGCTGGTATTAACTAATTATAGATTTTTACGTAAAGATGATATGGTGAAAAATTGTTTTGAGTTTTTTTACAGGACTCATTAAGGATCTGAGTAAATCCCATTATAGGCATGGATGGATGTCAGTTAGCAGATTTCTGGCTCAAAATGAAATCTTATTGAAGCAGCTGAGAGAAACTGCTAGATTCTGGTTTGACTGGGGCTTAGCTCCATGTTAACAGTTAATGGTTATCTACTCAGAATTTAGAATATAGAGGAATACTGTTGTTTTTTCTTGTAATTTGCAACTTCACTGGTCTGCAGGCTGGCTCCTGCTACACAGCACATAAACCGCAGCTTGGATTATCTGCTCCCTTCTGAAACAAAATAAATTCAAATATATTGTGTGATCATACAAGTACAATGTACAGTTCAATGTTTCCGTGTTTTCAGCTGCTGTGTTTAAGATATTCTCCCTTCCAGGTTAAGAGGTTCCATATATGAAATAAGTAGATGAACTTATTTCCAAGATGAACCAATTTTAGACCTTTTTTTTAACTGGGGTACATGGCTGCCGGGGAGTGATTAGGATAAAGCTTTAGACTAAACAATTACTTGTTAGAGTCTAAAATCACAGATTATGACCAGGAAAGAAATAATGGGAGATATGTTTTGGCTCACACCCATGATGGTTTGCTAAACTGAGGTGCACACTTATTGGCTTACAATATAGCTTGCTATAGCAAGAATCCACTTATTCATAGCATTAGAACCTGGGTCTAAGAAATTATGCTTTTATTACAATATTGATAGTTTAATGCATTCATTCTTGAATGAGTCTGAAATGCTATCCAGCTTGAATGTTTTTCTCCAGTCCCAAGTACTCTGTTCTACTTTAGGTGTAAGTTGTAAAAACATTTGGCAATAGCAGCTGCTACTCAGCTTATTTGATTAAAAGTGCCTTAAGACCTTGAATTATGTAAAGGTTCTATCTGTTTGATTTGTGACAATTGATAAGCAAAAATCAATTTAAAAGGAATTCTGCAGTCTCTTTATTCCAATAGTGGTTGGAAGGAGCCAGCCAAGATAAACAAAAGTTTGCAAACTGAAACAGCCATAACTTTCACATTATCTGCCCATTGCTGGAGGTCAGCCAATGAGAATGCTTCTGTAAGGGAGTAACATCATTTTGCAATAACACTGAGAGGGTGCAGATTATTTTAAATGTTTGAAATTTGGATTTTAGGCAGAAACTCATTTATTTAGCAGATTTTCTAAACAACAATAAATGCTGTGGAGACCTGTAGCTCAGTGGTTAGAGTACTCACCTAGCAAGCGAAAGACCTGGGTTCAATTCCCAGCAGGGTGAAACCTTGGGCAAGTTTCCTTACTCCACATGCCTAATAATCCCTCCAGAAAAAAAAAAATAATTTGGTCACTCAATCCATGACTGTTTGTGGGACATTGCTGTGCGCAATTGGCTGCCGCATTTCGCCCACAAAATATCCAGTCAATTCACTTTACAGTGTATTCTGTGAAGCGCTTTGAGACGTCTAGAAGACTTGAAAAGCGTTATATCAAATGCAAGGATTATTATTAATATTTAGCTTAGAAACAGAATTCTTAACGGGTGATAAAATATTTTTAGCCATGCATTTACACTTTCTATATGAGTTTTCGCCTGTTTATATATGGATTAAATGATTTTTTAAAAAAATTAAATTTTTAGTACAATTTTCATACATACTCCTAAAAGTTTGTTGTATCTATTTATGTTTCTATTTCTATAGCCCCCATTGCCACATTGCAGCAAATGTTTGCAAATAGCATTGTTCAAGTATATTTCTCAAGAGTAGTCTATGCAATAACGTATATTCTTTACTTAAAAGACCTGAGCATTTTAAGAATCCTTCGCCCCAATTCTGACTTGATCTCAACTGAAACAACAGGAATGGGAGAGTAGAATTTCCTTTTGTTAGGTGATGTATTATAAATTCATACCTCAAAATCTGGTAAATGTAGCACAAATAATCCCACCTTGTTGAAAATCTCCGGTAAAGAAAGCATTTTGTTTGTATTTTGTATTTTATTAACAAAAATTCTCAAGTACTTTGTAAATCAGATTCCTATTATAATGCCTATAAAGCTGAAATATTTGATTTAGCCCTTCTAGTGGAACAAATTATCATTCTCAAAAACAGAGCAGCATGTTTTATACACATTATGTACTGTATAAAATGAATGTATTTAATGCTTTAGCCAAGGTAAAGGGAAATTAGTAGTAACATTGTACTGTTTTCATTTAAGAGTGCATCATTTCCGAGACACAAAATTCTTAGCAAGTAATCCTGATAAAATATTTTTAGAATATTATTTGTTAAAAACATTATCATGCTAATGTCTTAGATGTGTCTTATTTCTATATATCGAGGCAGTGTACTTTTCTCTTTAAAAATATTTTCTACACTGGGCATATTGAGTGCAGATCTCTGTGCTGAACACTTACAACTATCCACAGAGCTCACATTACTTGCATTTAACTCTTTCAGTACTGAAGTTCCCCCTTCCCCCAGAAGTATATTGCATTCAGTACTTAAGGTTTTGAGCTTGTTTTCCTCTTTCTAAAAGGCTTTATTATTTCCATCTTATGGAGTCCTGTAGCTCAGTGGTTAGAGCACTCGCTTTGCAAGTGAGACACCTGAGTTCAATTCCAGGCAGAGGGCGAAACCTCGGGCAAGTTTCCTTACTCCACACAGAGCCTAATAATAATCCCTCCAAAACCAAAAACAATAATAAATTGGTCATTTTCAATCTACGACTATTTGCGGGACATTGCTGTGCGCAATTGGCTGCCGCGTTCGCCCACAAATATACAGTCAATTCACTTTACAGTATATTCTGTGAAGCGCTTTGGGACGTCGAGAAGACGTGAGAAGCGCTATATCAAATGCAAGGATTATTATTATTATCATCTTCTGTTGATTATTGTAAAACAAATCCTGAAACTCAGGTGTTGTCCAAACCTAGGTTTTTATTTTTCATACCCATATTTTTCTAAGTGAAAATTTATTTTGTCCTGATTGGCCTGTAGCTCTCAGGTTTATCCTTCTGCCCCTTTTTGTACAGGGGAGTAACATTTGCAACCTTAAAGTCCTCTGGCAGCACTCCAGTGTCTAAAAAGAATTGAAAGATTGTGGCCAGAGCCTCCGCTATTTCCAACCTTGCATCCTAGGATGCATCCTGTTCAGACCGGGTGACTTATCTTACCTTGAGCACCAGTAGTCGTTTTATTCTTATCCTCTCCAATTTCTCTACAACTACAACAATATAGTGCCCTCTGTACCAGGCGGCATCTCAGAGCGCTTCACAGTAACCTGACCCTCTCCTCCGATTTTGTGGTATTAAGAAGCAGCTAGATGTTGTAACACAAGACAGTAGAGGGGGTATTCTGAAAAGATGAGACCAAACTCTCAACCTCTTTTGTGATACAATGATCTCCATTTAGTTTGTGTATATCTGATGTAGAACCAGGACTAAGGAGATTGAAAGCACTAAATTGGATTGCAACACAATTTGTAAAGGTTTTCTGGATGAGAACAGATGCTCATATATTCCAGGGCTTGGTATCCAACTTGATTAGTATTCAGAGTGAAGCAGCTCCACATTTCCAAAGCTAAATGGATCAGGATATGAGTCCAGGCTATGGCTAGGATGGTGGCATTGCTGAAGCATTTCAGAGTTGGTTTGTTCACCAGGTTCTTGACTTGCTATCCATGTAGTCAGGCTGACATGTTCTTGTTGGATATCAAATGAATAACTTGTTGCTGCCCCCATTGGGGAGGGTGGTGCGGGTTGGGAGGAGAAAGCAAGGCCTCCTTGGGGCAAGATGCATTAATAATACTAATAATCCTTGCATTTGATATAGCGCTTTTCACGTCAGGAGGACGTCCCAAAGCGCTTCACAGAACACACTGTAAAGTGAATTGACTGTATATTTGTGGGCGAACGCGGCAGCCAATTGCGCACAGCAATGTCCCACAAACAGTCGTAGATTGAAAATGACCAATTTATTATTGTTTTTGGTTTTGGAGGGATTATTATGCTTGGCAACAGAACATTGGAATCAAGTCAACCACAGGGTGGTCTCAGTTCCTGAGCCAGACAGGTTCACAGTAGTCCAAGCCAATGCTAAACACAGACCAGCCAGGCTGGCTCATCAGCTGGAGATTGGAGAAGCAGAATTATCCTGTTAATCCTGCAACCGAAGGTAAGCAAAGTGCATCACTTCAGGGAAAGTCTATTCCATTCCAGAGACTTTGCTTGTGTAGGTAATAAGCATATGTGGAACTCTACCTGATTACTCTTAAGATTGGTGATGTGTTTCTACATGTGTCACAGATTAAAGAAAAAAGGCACCAGATAAGATAGAGAGAATCTACTCTTGGAGTTCTAGAAAATGTACTAGAAAATAAGATCATGATCAGTAAAGTTAAGTGATGGGGAAATTGGAAAGGATAGATGACCTATTGTGTTTGTCAGCTCAGCAATGTATCAGTAGTAAGAAATAATTGTAAAGATCTCTGCAAAAGATTAAAACTATCAAAAAATTTATATCTGACTGAGTTACAGTCCCTATATCATGGGTAACAAGAGTAACCAACTAATTTAATGAAGGGATTTGGTTAGATCAAAATTTGTACAATTTAAGACTAAGAACTGCCATCTGAACCTCAATTTCATTACTGTCTTGAATGAATTCCAGCAATATTGATTGTTTTTAATATAGCATTTCCTAGAAAGTTTGTGTTAATATGTTTTGAGCTATTAGTAGCCAGTGTGATGAGGTTCAACATTGTTTTGCAACAAGATAGAAAGGAGCAGTTGCCTTCTCATCTTCAGGAGACCCACCCACCCTGTCTGACTCCACCTAAAATTAAAAAGTAACAGATTAAAAGTAGATTTCTTTAATAATCCATTGAGGTTAGTTTATAAAAAAAATTGCATAAAGGTCAGGTATAGATCAATCTGAAATGCAGATGTAGAAAGTTACACATTAATGCAAAATGCATTTTGAAAAAAGTTAAGAAATTCCATGTTACAAAGATGTATTTTGGTTTAAATTTGTCCAAATAAAAAAAATCCAGGAACAGTCAATATAGCTCCATGGTACCCAAAGTGCATTCTTTAATCAACTGGTGTAGCAAGATATTGAGTTTAATCAGAAATCCGGACTGGAATCTTCCAGCAAAAGAAATCCTGTCCAGCATCATCCTTCAGCTCCCATTGAACAAGCAACTTGATCTGTGAAGAGAGAGAAAATTAGGTTTTGAAAGCCACATGCATTCAAAGTGCCATTCCTCAAGAGCCCAAAGCCTGTATCCTCTGCCGCACTAGCCCATCATCAGCAGCATTAGTTCTCCACAACAGCAGCAGCAGCAACAAAAGTACATTTGTATGGCGCCTTTCACATCGAGAGGACGTCCCAAGCTGCTGAAGCAGATCAACCTTTTAAGATCTCTCATCCCTATCATCATGCCTTGCACACCATCTCTCTGAGATTAATATTATTATTATTTCCTGCAATGAAAATGTTATGACCTTACTGCCCTGACCACTCGATTCCCCTCACCAGCTTCATAACCCCTCCCACACCATCTCAATTCCTCTCCCACCACTTTTCCTCTCCGTCGGGAACAAATACCTCTGCCTCACCCACTTTCAAATTACTGCCTGAAGACCTATCTCTTCAAGTGCAGTTTTCAAAGCAATATTAATCTCTTGTGAAAAATGTTCCTCAGATTAACCATCTTGAGTTACTGTTTGTTTTATTCCCAGAGGAACACGGTTGGACTCCAGGCTATTATATACTGCTGCTTCCTAGAGAATAAGCAAATGGTGCATTATTCCACATTCTGATATAGTTTTGTGAATACTTACTGATGGGTAATCACTTTTCACTGGTAGGGCATTGATGTAGTTGTATTTCTGATCCTTCTTGATAGGGCAGACAATTCCAGATTTACAGCCATCATTGTTTGGAATAGGAAAGGGAATTGGCAATTTGGCTAGGACACCATGAACTACAGCTTTGCTCGTTTGACTTGCAGCTTCTATAAAGAGGGAAACATGTCTACAGTAATCATCTAAGCTCAGAGACAGGTCAACATTCTGGGAGACGGTGCAAAATCTGCAACTCCAATCTCAATCAGGAAGCAAAAGCGACACCAACCACAAGCTATGGAATTTCCACTCAGTGAAACAAAAAGGAGAATTGCAACAGCCTCTCCCACTTAGCTCATCCCATTTGACACACATTGTGGAATACAGAAGCAGATATGCTCATTATCAAACATTTTTCACTAGCCAATCCTTATTAGTTAATGCAATTGCTCTTCTTAAAATAATCCTTCCTTTATCCCTTTCATGTCAGATATCTCAAAGCACTTTACAGGATTTACTGTATAGCGCAGTTTTCTAGGCAAACTTTGTGGAAGGAAGGAATAAGAGATCTTTTCAAGCATTATTAATAATAAGTTAAATAGAAGAATTTGCATTTTTATAGTACCTTTAATGTAAATAATCTCAAATCATTTCATTAATGTCAAGTGCAGTGATTATTTTATAGGCAAAACCCCACAAATAGCCATAAGGCAATGACCAATTTATCCAGAGGAATGTTGGCTGGGACACAGGGATAAACTTCCATCTCTTTCTGAATCATGTCATTGAACTTTAACATCCACCTGAGCAAACAGACAGGACCGTGGTTTAAAGTCTCATGTAAGAGACTATTACCAACAATGGTTGCCAGTGCACAGATATATTGATACCTATAAAATACTTACTGCTAGTAAAGGTAACATTCACTTTGTATGTTTGACCTTTGTGAAGTACACATGGCTGACTTGGGCAGGGCGAGACATCCACAATACTAATGTTTCCAACAGAGGAACCTGCAATGCAAAGGAGACTCATTGTCACAAGAACTAGAAAATTGAAAGACAGAAATATGGCTCATCAGGACTTGGAGGTGCAAACCAGACAATGGGGACAGGGATTCTTTACATTCATCTCCTGTGAACCCTGCAAGTCAAAGTCCTCACAGGTAGGTTGGATCTAGCTAGACATACAGCAGGAAAGCTTGCCAGAAGTGCCTTCAGTGGTAAGATATGCAGTTTTCGCTGGTTAAACTCCAATAGTATCCACTACCCCCAGTGCACACTCTGGGATTTCCAAGCCTTGGCACTTGCCAACCTGCACCTAATGCTCTATGCAATTAAGTGAGCAGTGTTCGTTCCTCCAGAGAGAGTGCACATTATTTCCAGAAACAGAAGTTTCCATGCGTAAATAATACTTGTATGTGATATAACGCCTTATCACGTCTTCCAAGACCTCTAAAAGTGCATCACAGAAAATACTGTAAAGTGAACTGACTATATATTTTGTGGGCAAACGCAGCAGCCAATTGTGCACAATAGTGTCCCACAGTCATGGATTGAGTGACCAAATTATTACCCCAGGAAAAGTGATCCGCCAATCGACTAACAACTGGGTTCCTACTTACTGCTGGGTAACCAGAGGCGCGTGGAGTAAGGAAACTTGCCCAACGTTTCGCCCTGCATACATGGAACTCTGGTTTGCATATTCGCAAACATTTTGAGCGTTTTGGGACATCTTCCTGACATGAAAGGCATTATATACGTGTCAGCAACCAGGCTGACAAAATTAAAACCTGAACAGGATGTGGGTTAGTCACAAGATGCAATGGTCTTAGTGTGTATAAGTTGAACTAAATCCGGAAATAGATTTAAAAAAACGAGTTCTGAGAGCTAACAGGTTATTTCACTCTCACTTCACTCTTTAGCCCTCACACATGTACACTCACATAGTTGCAAGATTCTCTGTTGAACAATCCCATACATTTTACCAGAGGCTTCAGACTTAAAACTTCAACAGCTAATGTACAGTATTCTCCACAAACACCCACACTTCATTCACTCAGGTCACTGGAAGCCAACACTTGTTACTTTGAAATAAAGAGATCGACTTGTTAATTCAGACATTCATTCCTTGGAGGAATCTTTATAAAGACTGTCCCAAGAGCCAAACATAAATGAATCAGTTAAAGAGCAGAAATTTAGGGTTTAAAATCCCTCATACAAGAATCTTGACGTATAAAATGATGTTTGAGGCCACCCCTCATCTCTCACATGATTCTCTGTACTGTTGTCAATGACTCACCCTTGGACTCTTCTCCACTCCCTCTCCATCACCTCAGGAGTTTCCTATGACTCATCGTCCAACCCAATCAATTGTCTATTCATCACTTTCTCATCTCAAGCCCCAATTAGTTGTTATAAACTTCACCAAAAAGATCAACATCGAGATCCTCACCCTCACATACAAATCACTTCTCGCCTTAGCATTTCCCTATCTCTCTGACCCCATTCCTCTACCCACCCCCTTTGTTTAATTGCCACCAATGCCACACATCTTCCAACCCCTCTGCTCCAACATTTATGGCTGTGCCTTCAGTCACTCTGCCCCTAACCTCTGGACTCCCTGCCCCAAATCCTCTGTCGAGCCCCTTCTTTAAACACCACCCGCGCTGTGCTCGGGGTCTAACCCGCGCTGTTCTGTGCTGTGTGAAGGGCGCTAAATAAATGCCAATTGTTGTTCAGTTTTTCTCACTTTACCAAACCCACTAAACACGGCACAAACCACAGTCCAGTCACTACATTCACAGTGTGGCCTGAGAAGCACTTGGAGACGTGTCAATGGCACGAGAAGAACAGCAGGATCAGGATTGGCCATAACTGGTCAGTTTGGAGACTGTTAAGTGAGGACGTGACTTGCCCCCCACCTCCCCAGGTGCCCCCCCGCCTGCCCCCCCCTCCCCAGGTGCCCCCCCCCGGCTCCCGAGGTGCCCCCCGTCACGTGGGGTAAAGGCCCCTTTTAAACGTGTGAATCCCACTCACCGCAGTCGAAGAATCTGAGCGGCTCCGCGGCCCCGAGCGCGGCCCAGAGGGTGAGTGTGAGGGTCAGGGCAGCGGTCAGGGGGCCCGGGGGCTGCATGGCGCGCGGTGCGGAGCGGCTGTGGAGCGGGAGGCGGTGACGGTCACACGGCAGCTTTATCAGGGCCCGGCCCCGCCCTCGTGACTGTGCCCCAGGCCCCGCCCCCGCCGCGCGGCTCCCTCGTCACGTGAGCAATGGCGGCGCCCACAGCGGCTTATTGTCCCAGAGGCCCCTGCGGCGGGGCGGGGCCTCATTTCAAACAAATGTCAAAGTTTCGCCCCAACAACACCGCCTCCTCCCCCCCTCCCCCTCCCCACCCCCACCCGCCCCCAGCCCCCGCCTCCCTACCCCCAGTGGGAGCCAGTGGGGTCGGCGAGGGTGGGGGTGATGGGGTTGGGGAGGGTGGGGTCGGGCGAGGGTGGGGGTGATGGGGTTGGGGAGGGTGGGGTCGGGCGAGGGTGGGGGTGATGGGGTTGGGGAGGGTGGGGTTGGGGAGGGTGGGGGTGATGGGGTTGGGGAGGGTGGGGTCGGGGAGGGTGGGGGTGATGGGGTTGGGGAGGGTGGGGTCGGGCGAGGGTGGGGTGATGGGGTTGGGGAGGGTGGGGTCGGGCGAGGGTGGGGGTGATGGGGTTGGGGAGGGTGGGGTTGGCGAGGGTGGGGGTGATGGGGTTGGGGAGGGTGTGTGAGGATACAGGAGCTGCAGAGTTGGGATGATCTGCAGGATGTGAAGGGAAGAGTTGGGAAGGCCAATGAGGAGGGAGTTCCTGTAATCGAGTCTTGAGGTCACAAATGTGTGGGTGAGGGTTTGGGCAGCCGGAGGGGAGGGGTGAGGCAGTGGCGGAGTCTGGCAATGTTGCGGAGTTGGTTGTAGGCAGTGCCAGTCGTGGTGCGGACTGACGTGAGGAGAAACCAATCAAAGTCAAGTCCAATCATTAGTCCATTAGGATGCACTCACTCAGCAGCGCAAGTCAAATGTGTGGGAATGTGGCCATAATAATAATCCTTGCATTTGATATAGCACCTTATCACGTCTGTATATTGTGTATCAGTGACTGTATATTGTGAGCGAAACTTATAATAATAACTTGCATTTGCACTTATATTTCATATTTCACGTAGGAAAGTTCTTCACAGAGATGAAACGCAACTCTCCACTACTAAAATTGGGTCATTCACTCTATAGCCATTTGTGGGACATTGCTGTCTGCAAATTGGTTACTGTGTTTGCCTACAAAATACAGTCACTGCACTTTACAGTATATTCTGTGAAGAAGTTTTAAGAGGTCCTCCCAAAGTGAAAGGCGCTATATGAAATGTATTACCTCTCACATAGCTGTGAAACTGGCTGTTGGAAATCCTTCTAGAGAGCAAAGAGAAACAACAATGTTCGGAAAGTTGTTAGAAACTACACTGTAAGCAGAATACCAGCCTTCAAGAACTTAAACAACAAATTGTTATTGCAATGCAAGCATTTACCTCGTGAAGATAATTTCAGAGTCAAAGTGTGAAGGTCGTATTTTAAAACATGTAAGTCCATGGTTAATGCCACCAGAGAGATCTCTGAGCACCAATATGTCACTGAAAAATCAAATGATGAGTGTGACTTTCAACAATTATTAGAATTATTTTTACATCACATTGATCCAATATAATCTGACTGATAATATGTATGAAAAACAATACAACTTATAACCAACATTTTCATTTAGGGTTAGATTATATTAAGACTGTATCTTAATTTAACTAGTTCAGGATTGAAAATAAATTGCATTTTACTCAAAGAACAAAAGGCATAAAAAAGAAATTAAAATCCATAACAATATATCAGATTTAACTAAATCTTAAATGACTGTCTGTGGGACACTGCTGTGCACAATTGGCTGCTGCGTTTCTCCCACAAATACACAGTCACTACACTTTACAGAATATTCTGTGAAGCGCTTTGAAACATATCAACTACGTGATAAGGCTCTAAATCAAAGACAAGGATTATTATTATTGAACTTTCAATCTACAATACATAATGTACTTACGCAAAAATACGTACACAGTGTTGGAGTTGTGACAAACTGTGGAGGATAAACAGAGCAAGTCACTGGACATCAGTTAATATGAAAACGAGACCTGTATCAGGTTTAATCGACCTGTACCCAGTCCAACTTTGGTTTTGGCTGAAACGAAACAACAAATTAACAACAAATTATAATTGTATAGGGGCTTTCACGTCGGGAGGACGTCCCAAGGCACTGAACAGTCACGAGTCCCAAAAGCTATAATTTAACAGACAAGTAACAAACCTGGGAATTGAACGTAATGTCACCAACAATATCCAATTGGCAGATGGGTCCAAAAATCCTCTGGAACAAACGTATACCTTTGGAAGGAGAAATGAAATTTCTACAGCTAATTAGGTCAATATTATCTGAACCCCTCATTCACACACATCTACTGAGGAACAAGAATATACTTTTTCCCCCAAAAAATGTAAGTCGTCTAACGCAACAACAAAATGATATTTATATAAAACATTACTAAATTGTATCAAAAGCCCATGCCATACACATTTATCTCAAATGAAAGCAAGAACTTTGTATTCAAATAATCAATTTCTGGAGAAACTCAAAAAAAAACCTTGTAAAACCCTCATTGTCAAAGAGGCAGAGACTTCAAAAAGCAATTGAGAAGCTTAAAGCACTCAATCTCAAGACTGAGATAGATATGTTTCTCATTGCAAAAGGGATTAAGGGATATGGGGCAGGGTTATGGTATTAGCTGGAGTTAGAAGATCAGCCACGATTGAATGGCGGGGCAGGCTCGAAGGGCCGAATGGCCTACTCCTGCTCCTACATGTTATGTTAATGCAAATGATAATCATATGAAACTACATCCTTGACAATCGCTATTAAAGCAACAGGCACTTGTTCTCCCACTCCACCATGAAGATGATGATCATTAAAATATCAAACTAAACATTTTAAGAGATGCATCAGGCACACATTAGGAATTGACAAATATGCCTGAAATCCCTTTTACACAGATAAATAAGCTTTGCATCTCTAAAAAAAAGTTTTAGTTATTATTATTATAAATAGGCTCTGCATCTCAAGCATGTTAGAACTATAAAATATTATGAAAATGTTCTTTCAATGTCAGTACAGCACAGCTTCCCAGCTGGAGGACAGTTTAACTGCAGAATTAACTGAAAAACAAGTTTTTCAAAACTAAATGTGGATTAGTTGATACATTAAATGTGACTGAAAGGGGGGCCCAGAAAAGCACCCAAACAAGTTAAATGTTTATTTACTTGTCGTTTAAAAGCTATTGTATCAAAGTATATGCACAGATCCACAAACAGCACAGTATTTTACTGAGCTTTGGCTACTCTTTGAACTGCTAAACATATTATCATCATAGAATCGTACAGCACAAAAAGAGGCCATTCGGCCCATCGAGTCTGTGCCGGTTCTTTGAGAGCAATGTAATGTCAATCCCACTCCCGGCCCTTTCCCCATAACCCGCAAACCCGTCCTCCTCAAATACCCGTCCACCGCGTTTTTAAAAGTAGTTATCGAATCGGCCTCGACTGCCCTTTCAGGCGATGCCTTCCAGATTCGAACAACTCGCTGTGTGAAAAAATTTCTTCTCCCCTCGGCTTCTTTTAGAGACTATTTTGAATCTGTGACCTCGAGTCACCGACACTCCCACCAGTGGGAACAGATTTCCCTTTCTAACCTATCAAATCCCCTCATGATTTTGAAGACCTCTATCAGGTCCTCATAACCTTCTCTGCTCCAATGAGAATAATCCCGGCCTCTCTAGTCTTTCCTCATCATCAAGGTCCCTCATTCCTGGTACCATCCTCGTAAATCTCCTCTGCGCCCTTTCCAATCCCTAACATCCTTCCTATAGTGCGGTGCCCAGAACTGGGCTCAGTATTCTAACTGAGGCCTAACCAGTGTTTATATGGGTTAATCATAATCTCCTGACTCTTGTACTCTATGCCCCTATTTATAAAGCCTAGTATCTCATATGCCCTTTTTACAGCTGTATCTACCTATCCTGCCACCTTCAAGGATTCATTTACCTGCATCCCCAGGTCTCTCTGTTCTATCGCCCCCCCTTAAGATTGTATTACCGCCTATATTAACTCCCCTAATTTTTTCTACCAAAATGCATTACCTCGCATTTCTCCACATTGAAATTCATCTGCCATATGTCTGCCCATTTCACCATTCTGTCTGCATCTTCCTGCAGTTGGCTCCTATCCTTCTCACTGTTTACCACCCTACCTAACTTTGTGTCGTCCGCAAACTTGGAAATGGTGCTTGCCCAAGTCCAGATCATTTATGTATATTAGGAAGAGCAGTGGTCCTAATACCGATCCCTGGGGGACACCACTGTACACTTCCCTCCAGTCAGAAAAGCAGCCGTTCACCACAACTCTCTGCTTTCTGTCTCCCAGTGAGTTCTGGATCCGCTGCCACTGTCCCTTTTATACCATTGGCTTCTATCTTTCTTACAAGTCTTTCATGTGGCACTTTGTCAAATGCCTTTTGAAAGTCCATATAAATGACATCAACTGCACTACCTTTATCCACCCTCTCCGTTACCTCATCGAAAAATTCTATTAGATTTGTTAGACAAGATTTGCCTTTAACAAATCCATGTTGGCTGTCCCTAATTAACCCATATTTTTTGAAGTGAAGATTTATTCTGTCCCGGATTATAGTCTCCAGGAGTTTCCCCACTACTGATGTTAGGCACTGGCCTATAGTTCCCAGGTTTGTCCTTCTGTTCCTTTTTGTACAGGGAGTAACATTGGCCACTCTCCAGTCCTCGGGCACCACTCCTGTGTCCAACGAAGATTGAAAAATTGTAGCCAAAGCCTCCGCTATTTGTACCTGTGCCTCCCATAGTAACCTCGGCTGCATCCCCTCCGGACTGGGCGACTTGTCTACCTTCAACCCAGTATTTCCTCTCAGTTTATACTTATCCTATCCATTTCCTCTCCCCTCTCCTCCGATACTGCGGCATTTGGTGCATCCACTTCTTTTGTGAAGACAGATGCACATCAGCCGTGCCCTCTGCCTCCACAATAAGATTTCCGCCTTGGTCCTTAATTGGCCCCACCCTACCTTTGACTAACCTTTTTTTCTTGATATGTTTGTAAAATATTTTAGAATTCCCTTTAATGTTACCCGCTAACCTTTTCTCGTATAATCTTTTTGCCCCTCTTATTTCCTTTTTTAGTTCTCTTCTGCACTTCCTATATTCTATTTGGTTGTCTTCTGTATCTTGGGTTTGACATTTGTCATACGCCTCCTTTTTCTGCTTCATTCGAGATACAATTTCCTTCGTCATCCAGGGAGGTTTGGAAGCCCTACTTTTCCCTTTTGTGGGAATGTATTTATTCTGTCCCCGAGTATCTCATCCTTTAAGACTTTCCACTGCTCTTGAGTTGTTTGACCCGCCAACCTTTCTTTCCAGTCCACCTTGGCTCGGTCCCTTTTTAACTCACAACAACAACAAGAAGATTCCATTTATAAAGCGCCTTTCACGTCAGGAGGACGTCCCAAGGCGCTGCACAGTTGGGTCATGACCCGAGCAGGGGGAAATGGTCAGGGTGAGGGGAGGGAAGGGAGGGAGCGAGGAGGGGGAAATGGTCAGGGTGAGGGGAGGGAAGGGAGGGAGCGAGGAGGGGGGAAATGGTCAGGGTGAGGGGAGGGAAGGGAGGGAGCGAGGAGGGGGAAGAGAGTCGAGAGGGGAGCTGAAGGCTGAAGGTCAAAGAGAAAGGTTTTGAGACCGGCCTTGAAGGAGGAAAGGGAGGAAGCGGCGAAGGCACTGGGGGATGGAGTTCCAGAGCCTCGGGGCTGAGAGGCTGAAGGCCCGACCACCGACGGTAGGGCGGTTGGGGCGGGGGACGTGGAGCAGACCGGAGCCAGAGGGACGGAGGGTACGGGCAGGGAGGTAGGGGGATAGTAGGTTGGAGAGGTAGGAGGGAGCGAGGCCGTGAATGGCCTTGTAGGTGAGGATGAGGATCTTGAAATCAATCCTCTGGGGGATGGGGAGCCAGTGGAGGCGAGCGAGGGTGGGAGTGATGTGGTCCCGAAGCCTGATGTGGGACAGTACTCGAGCTGCAGAGTTCTGAATGACCTGCAGTGTGGAGGGAGGTGCCCAGAAGGCCGACGAGGAGAGAGTTCCCATAGTCCAGCCTTGAGGTGATAAAGGCGTGAACCAGGGTTTCAGCCGCGTGAGGGGTGAGGTAATGGCGTAGTCTGGCCATGTTCCGGAGGTGATGGAAGGCGGTGCCAGTTGTGGTGCGGATGTGAGGGAGAAAGGACAGCTCAGGGTCGAACAGAACGCCGAGGTTCCTGATGGCTTTGAGAGGTGGAGAGTGCAGTCTTGGATGCTGATGCTGTCAGCGCCACCTGACACCTGAAGAAACTCACTGAAATTTTCCCTCTTCCAGTTGAGTATCTTCACCTTAGTTGGTTCCTTGTCCCTTTCCAGGTGCCCTGACTCTAACGATGTTGTGATTGATCACTGTTGCCCGATGCTCTCCACTGAAACCTGTCCACTTGCCCTACTTCATTCCCCAGCACTGGGATCCGGCACTGCCCCTTCCTGGTTCGGCCCGAAACGCACTGATCCGGAAATTATATATTATTATATTATTTAGTATTGGACTATGGATTGAATTACATAACTATAGATTATGCGTATATTGTACATTATGTGCATGTTATTGATTATCGATCAGTGTGACTGTAGATGATGTTGTTGATGGTGATGACGATGGTGATGATAGGCTCCGCCCCCGGCGCGAGGCGGCTCTGACAGTGAAGTGCGTTGACCAATCGCAGTGGCGCATTTCCAATGTGCGTCATGTGACTGGATGTTTGGCGCGCTGTGGGTGTGGAGCCGTTGGCCGCCAATCGCCGCCCAAGCACATGACGCACTTTGAAATACGCCACTGCGATTGGTCAAGATGCTTGTCAGTCATTCTGACAGCGGGGTGTGTGTGATTGACATCGGGCTCAGCCAATGGGCGTAGTGCGTTTGGCGGCATTGCCGCGTGACCGCGGGGCGGGACTTCCTGTGTTCGGGCCGGCGACCGCGGGGAGGTTGTTGATGTCGATGTTGATGATGATGATGATGAGGAAGGTGCTGCTGGCGGCCGCGGCCCGGCTCCCCGAGAGGAGGTGAGCAGCGGGGGCTCACATTCCCGCCATTGGCCTCCCACAGGGCAGCTCCACCCCCAGCAAACACACAGTCACTACACCACAGTGTCCCTGTCTCACCCACATGATCAGGCTGTGTCACACACAGTCACTACACCACAGTGTCCCTGTCTCAAGCTGCTGAGACAAGTTGTTTAATCTTCACTTGTCAAACATTGTGAGAACATTCTGGCTGATTAGACTGAGAAATGGTGACTCCCTGCGCTGACTTGGAGTTAGGAGCCATGAATCACATGGTGTCACAGCAGTGGCCCAGTTAATCCCTTAACTTTACAGATACAGAGCCCAGACTTCAACTTGTCTCTGTACAACTGTGCCACTGGAGAACTAGTACTTGGGTCAGGCAAATAACCTTCTAGAACAGTGCGTTGGATAGCTGCTAAGGCTGTGCACGTGTTTAATTGCTTCTATATTTATATTTTTAACAGGGTGGCATGTTTGAAAAGCCAGCCAGTCAGCTTGGTGAACACAACTTGTACCGTTAGCCGTTGGGGTCTGCTGACCTCCCGAGCGTTGGGACGGTGGTTCTCAACCAATCAAAAGAATGAGTCTCAGTTGGCCTCAGCCACAGTGACCCTGAGTGACAGCTGTGTCAAGGTAAGATAGGGAAAGGGGATGAGGAACCCAGTCAGTCAATGTGACTAAAATATGGCAGTTTTGAGACTCCCACAAACATATGAGCAAAACATAAAGTGTTTGTTTGTTATAGTATATGAGCTTATTCTATTCCTGGCTGCTACCAATGTGCGTTACAAATGACATTGGGCTTATAATTTATACTGAGAACTACTGCTTGTGAAGCTATTAATTATGATGTTTGTGCTGTCAGTGAAGGAGACAGTGTGAATGATTCTTTTGTGCTGCAGAAATTACAGAAGACTTTGGAAGAGGAAGAGTTTCTGAGGGTACACGTGGAAGGGGGTGGCTGCTCTGGATTTCAGTATAAATTCACCCTGGATAAGACCATCAACCCAGACGACAGGTAGGAGACAAGAACTCTGCCTACGTGTGTCTTTACATGCCCTGACTTTACATAGTTTTGCCCACAAAAGATACAGTCAATTCATTTTACACAAGTCCTTGCAAGTGGGAGACCTGGTTCAATTCCTGGGCGGGTCAGGGTGAAACCTTAGACAAGGTTTCCTTACTCCACACGCCTCTGTTTACCTATCAGTAAGTAGGAACCTGGTTGTTAGTCGATTGGCGGATCACTTTTCTGGGGTTAATAATTCCTTAAAAAAAGAATAAATTGGTTACTCAATCCATGACTGTTTGTGGGACACTGTGCGCAATTGGCTGCCGCGTTTCTCCCACAAAATATACATTCAATTCACTGTACAGTATATTTGAGATGTCTCGAAGACGTAATAAGGTGCTGTATCAAATGCAAGGATTATATTATAATTATTATTGTGCTGTATAAATAAATGGAAGATCTTGTTGTTGCTATGTTTGTGTATTGAGGTGGGACTTAAACACAATACTTAACATTAGCTCAACAATCGAATTGCAGGAGACATACTGTGCAGCATACAATAAACAACAACTTGCACTTATATAGCATGCAGGGTAGCATCTCAGAGCGCTTTATCCAGGTGCACTTTGAGATAAACACTTGGTCTAAAGTTATAAACGCTGCCCAGGACATACACAATAAGCTAAATGGCTTCTTTCCCAACTCATGTTCTATTTGAAGAGAATTAGCTGCTGGATAGCTTGTGGCTGTTAATTCCAGCTCGACTTAAAAGTTAGACCTTTGCTTCTGTTTGCTAACTGCTATAATGTGTATGATGCAGGTTGTTTGATCAGAATGGTGTCCGTGTTGTTGTGGACTCCGACAGCATGGAGTACCTGAAGGGGGCGACAATCGATTACAGCGAGGAGCTGATCCGCAGCTCATTCCAAGTGATGAACAACCCACAGGCAGAGAACGGCTGTTCTTGTGGGAGTTCCTTTTCCATCAAACTCTGAGCTGAATCCCCCATCTCACCTTCCATTGAAGACGCACTCGATGTAAAACAAGCAAACGTTCAGCCAAGCACATAGCAAGTCTCAAGCCCCCGACCTGGATTGACAAAGGAAAGGACCGAGGGTGGGGGGAGTGCTGGACTGTCACAGTATTAACCCATCACTGGATCTTGCTGTCATGCTTTGTATTGCTTTACTGCAAAGTATTTACAAAAAAATGTGCTTGTGAAACCCAGTGGTAAGAAGTGCACAAACTTTTTAACGTCTGATTGTCCATGTGTCGCTGCACATTGGTTCTTCAAAGCAGAATAATGCCTGTGCAAGTAATTCATTACAACCTGAAGGATGTGACAATCAACACCCCCAAAAAGATATTGGGGTGGGGGGATTGATTGCTTCCCCATGAGAGAAGATATTTGACTTTGTATCTGTCTCAGAGCAGTTTGCAGGAAACTGGCACGGCTGATAAACAGTCACTGGTGCCTTGCCTGAGAGAAGGATTGGAGTTTAAAGCCAAGTAAACAGTTCACTATCAGCCAGAATTTGGCTTTGTACTTAGATCTGAATGCTGAGGTTGGTAGCCAGGCCATGGTCAGTCTTTGTCAATGTTTAGTCCCACGTGTGTGACACAGTTGCACCAAATCAGATTGATGAGATTTATGGTTCTGTTAAAAAGTTACACAAAACAAACTGCAGCATTGAGCTGAGTCATCCAATCGACCTGTGTCCTTAATAGAAGAGCTCGTCTGGAGGACTTAGTCATGAGACATAAGCCTGAGCTGTTTCCTGTTACATCGGTATGCACTTCACCCTAGGACATAAATTTTGGGAGTTCAGTGCTTACTTTGCTGTAATGAGGGGCTGGCGCCACGTGTGACTTGTCACAAATTGCATGATACTCACAAGAAGAGGAAGAGCTGAGACCGAGGTCAGTCTCCTTACAACAAAACTTTCTAATGAGGGATGAGTGCCTCTCTGTTCTGAGAAAACAATGAGCTCGATGCATGATCCAAGGTGGGATCATTACCTTAGAACCAGTCGTTTGCAGCACATAAAGAGTTTGTGTGTGCGTTCCCGATTTCCTGACTGGTTTGCTGCTTGCCCCTTAGTACAGATGGACATATTGACACCTTATCCTACCAGTCTGGAGAGCTAATTGCATTGCACTACAACATATAGTTGAAAGTCAAGTGAAGGAGATAGTTAAGACAGGAAAAGGCTTAACTGTGTTAATATTCAGGCTTTCAGATTTCTCAGGGAAATTCCCCCTCCCCCATCACCAGCTAAGTTATCTCCTTTAGTTATTTCTGTCAGCTTTTTTAAAAAAAGTTGTTTAAAGAATATTCATCTTCTGGGTGTATCTTAAAATGCTCTCATTCCTTCCAGCCCTCTGACTCTCCATTGCTTCACCATCCCATTGCCCTTGTCCATTTGCATGCTGACCACACAGAAATAACATTTCTCCCAGTGTCCTGGCCACTTTTAACTCACAGCCTAGGCTGATACACCAGCGCAGTGCTGGGGGAGCTGTAATTTTGGAGATGCCATCCTTTGGACGAGACAGTAAACTTGTCTTCCTGTTCAAGTGGATGTTAAAGATCTCACAGCACTATTCGAAAAGAGATGGGAGTTTCTCCTGAGATTAATGGCTGTTTGTGGGACATTGCTACTCATACATTGGCTGCCGGGTTCGCCTGTAAGTACATAGTCACTGCACTTTACAGTAAAGCGAGACTTGCAATTAGAAACTTGCAGTTATGTCGATGTGACAAAGCATGTGTAATTCTAATTGCAAGTTTTGTTTCCGAGTCCTTTACTGTGGACTGCTCTGTACTTCACTGTTAAGTAAAATAGATTGTTAATTGCTTTTGTATTTCAGACACTGGTTATTTTTATCCATGCATCTGTCACTAATTTGAAATTCTAGGCTGAACAGAAAGACTTTGGCTGTTGTAGTGAGTACTATTGTAGCATATAACTGAAAACCCTGCAGCCCGTGACCTGATTGTGAGGAGGATTATGGCTCAGCTTTTTCCTCTGATGATTTGTGATGACTTTGTTAATATTGACTCAGATTTACCTGCTTGAAGTTGTTCCCTGATGTCCAGCCCCAGAAAACAAACCTAAATTGTCAGGGTGAGCAGAGAGTGAGGCTTGATGCCCACAGCTGCCTGTCAATGACGACAGGTACCAGTGGGCTGTTGTTACTGATAAAATTGTGATCCCTCGTGAGCTGGAAGAAAACAAGGGTGACAGAAAGACCTACTATGTTTAGCTCAGATCAGGAAGCAGTCAATGTCAAATAAGCAAGATGCAACGGAAGATGGGAGAACAGTGAGAGAAACTGCGCATGGTGCTCGTAATCCGAATAAGCTGACGTTAGTTAGTGTTTTGGTTTATCACCACGCAGACTGGCAGCTTGACATTGCTGGGTGGTGGTGAGTGGACCCCTCTGTCTCGAGCTCCAAGGATGTTTACAATTGATGAAAACCAGTCCATTTTGTCAATCATCGTCTGCCTCCAAAATGTTCAGTTTCAATGAAATTCAGGATTTTTAATTGAAACTTTGTTTATCCTCCATCCCCAACCCTCTCGATTTTAAGAGATTTGGAACTTTATGCTTTTGGGAGCTGTTTTTTCCACTCTGAAGGCTGGGCAGGCTGGCATCTAGTGAAAATGTAAATAAGTTTTATATGTGTCAATAAAGACTCCTTGTTTGGAAAGGTCATGTTGTTTTCTTGTTATAGGTTCCACACTTATAAGTCAGGAACCACTGGAAAAACTGACTTCACACTTGCAAGACATTAACTGGAGGATAAAATATTATGTTCACACAAAAGAAATTAAAGGGGAGGTTGGAAAAGCATTCCTTACACAGAGGGTGGTAGGAATATGGAATTCACTGCCACAAACTAGATTTGAAGCAGAGTGCAATATATTGCAATGTGGTTTTAGCTGGTTAAACTCCCCCAACAAGGGGTTGGTTTTAGTTGGTTAAACTTGTGCCCAAGCCTTGGTTCTTGCCAACCGACTCTTTATACTCCCTCCGTTCAGCGGGCTCCGGTCTGCTCCATGTCTCTCGCCCGACCCGCCCTACCATCGGTGGCCGGGCTTTCACCCTCTCTGCCCCCACACTGTGGAATTCCATCCCATGGTCCCTTCGCCTCACTTCCTTCCTTGCCTCCTTCAAGGCCGGTCTGAGGATCCTCCTCGTCGATCGTGCCTTTGGTCCCCTCCCACCTCTCTGCCTTCCTTCAAGGGACACAGATTTCCATGTGTAGCTGGAACACACGTGAAACACTCCGTCTGGTTTGGATACTATTAAACATGATGATTGGTTTCTAACTGTCAGATATCTGGCAACTCATGTTACTATTAAATATAAAAAATATTTAAAAAGGGAATGCTTTGAAGAGGAAGAATAAAGTGTATTACGAGAGAGAGAGACGTGGAGAAAAACACCAGCACCGACTTGATGGGTCAATTGGCCAGATTCTGGGCTGCAATATTTGACGATCCTCTTTGTGCAGAAGTGTGGAGACTCGCTCCTGAGTATTTCTAAAACAACAACTTGCATTTATGTATAGTGCCCTTCACACAGGGTACAATACAAATACAAAATTACAGTTCTACAGCGTCTTTCACGTCAGGAGGACATCCCAAGTCACTGAAGCGTCTCAGAGCACTTGAGAGGCACATGTAAATAATTTGTGTCACTGAAATTAAGCTCTGTAGAAATGTAACGTGTAATAATGCCCACTTTGGTTTATTCCATGCCTTATAGGGAGCAACTACTTACCCTCCATGACAATACCTTTAATTCAGGCTGAATGATAATAGGTGTAAACCTGACTGGATAGCCTGGGTCCCAGTTTCAGTGACAAATATCCGCAATGTGTGGGGAGGGGAAGGGAGAGAACACGAGAGCTTTCAAACCTCATCCTCACATCATCCACCATCAAACAAATCTCTAAACAAAAGGAATCGTGTGCAAAGCAAGTTCAATAGTAACTTTCCTATTAGCACCATCAGATGTTGACTGTTCTGCAAAGGAGAAGTAGGAGGTTGATTGATCAGCTGATTCCGGTGTGCTGGCATGGACAACAGATGGGTTGGGGAAGTCTTTGTTCAAGGGGAAGGGGAAGAGAGCAATTTTGTTTAAACAAACTGGGAGTGGGTCACAATTTCTGTTCTCGAAATCATCTCCAGTAAATGGCTGGTCGCAAAGTGGTTGCTATGTGATCGCTATTCTAAACTGACCTTTCACAATCCGGACCCTGGGCCCGTTGAAGGTTTGGTTCTGAGCTGGCTGTTTCCTATATTTGCTCTGTTTGGGTTTGTTGATTGAGTCACCAACATAGACCCAGGAGACGGCATTTCAGTGCAATGAATTTCTGCTGCAGTCCTTGTTCCTACTTTTCCAGGCTTTCATTTCTGCTTCAAGAAGGTGTGAGATGTTTTTGTGCTGTGAACAGTGGAGCATCATTGGAGACGGTGGGGTGGGAGCCCTGAGACTGAGGAGTGTTTTTTATATTCGTCTTCTATCTTCTATCTATACTAATAAAACGACAATGTCTGCCTGCGCTTCAAGAAAGATCTCAATAACTAATTGGCGTAGAGACATGATTTATACCTCATTGGAAAGGTCTTGCTACTGGGAGTGACATGGGCATATTTGTTTTCGGGTATCTCCCATTGTTTATGAGTTGTTTTCAGTTTTGCGTTTTTGACTGTAGTTACACCTGGTGGCGTCCGAGTCAAAGTGGTGCTGTAGCATCGTGCGTCACAGAGCATGTATATCCGCACGCATTGCAGATACACCTGGTGGCCACACCGGCTGACCGTGGCACTGTGGCATCCTGCGTCTCATAGCACGCATGTAGCCAAAGAGCGGAAACAAAATAAACAAAATAAAGAACACAGACAAAGCTAAGCCTCAACAACAACAAAATTATTTCTTTAAAGCCTCTTTCACATCGTGAGGACGTCCCAGTGATTATAAATTATACAAAATTATTTCTATACTTAGGAATACATCGGAGTCCTGTAGCTCAGTGGTTAGAGCACTCGCTTTGCAAGTGAGAGACCTGAGTTCAGTTCCAGACAGAGGGCGAAACCTTGGGCAAGTTTCCTTACTCCACACGCCTAATAATAATCCCTCCAAAAAACAAAACAATAATAAATTGGTCATTTTCAATCTATGACTGTTTGTGGGACATTGCTGTGCGTAATTGGCTGCCGCGTTTGCCCACAAATATATAGTCAATTCACTTTACAGTGTGTTCTGTGAAGCGCTTTGGGACGTCCTCCCGACGTGAAAAGCGCTATATCAAATGCAAGGATTATTATTATTATTATTATTATTATTATTATTATTATTATTTATATTGATCATTATAGAGATGCCTGAGCAAAAATCAAACCTTTCAAGGATAAGTAACAATGCCAGACAAAAGAGAGAAGGTTCATTAAATGAAACTGAAGAACAAAGTCCTCCCACAGGAGTCCTCCCAGATGAGTGTAGATAAAGATGAAATGTCTGTCTGTGTGTCAATCTACATTTCATATTGGATCCTTTGATTGCAAGCAAAGCTGCAATGGGTACAGACGCTATCAAATGGAACAATTGTTATTATTACCGTTTGACGCATTGCTACTTGTAGGGGATTTCCCTTTTGAAACTTAGTTGAACCATATTGATATCAAGCAGTGGATAAGCAAATTAGATGGCATTGGTGAGAATGGCATCTACTGTGCTTCAGAATATTTTGTGGTTCATTCTTGTTGTACTGCTGGGCATAACACCTTGTGAAGGAGCAGTATTACATGCTAAAAGTCACAGAGAAGAATTTATCCTTTAATACATATTAGCCTATGTTACCTCTGACCAACTTGGCACCAGTGAGCCACATGTGAAGTCCTGTAGCTCAATGGTTAGAGCACTCGCCTTGCAAGCGAGACACCTGGGTTCAATTCCAGGCATCAGGGTGAAACCTTGGGCAAGTTTCCTTAGTCCACACACCTGATAATAATCCCTCCAAAACAATAATAAATTGGTCATTTTCAATCCACGACTGTTTGTGGGACACTGCTGTGTGCAATTGGCTGCCGTGTTTCGCCCACAAATATACAGTTAATTCACTTCACAGTATATTCTGTGAAGCGCTTTGAGATGTCGAGAAGACATGAAAAGCGCTATATCAAATGCAAGGATTATTATTATTATTATTATTATAATCCTTGCATTTGATATAGCGCCTTATCACATCATTGAGACATCTCAAAGCGCTTCACAGAAAATACTGTAAAGTGAATCGACTGTATATTTTGTGGCTGAAACAGGCAACCAACTGCGCACAGCAGCGTCCCACACACAGTCATGGATTGAGTGACCACATTATTATTTTTTTAAGGGATTATTACCCCTGGAAAAGCGATCCCCCAATCGACTAACAACCGGTCCCTATTTACTGTGAGGTAACGAGAGGTGTGTTGCGTAACAAAACTTTCCTACGGTTTCGCCCCGGCCAGAAATCGAATCCACTACAGGAT